CGCTAAACGCTTGGGACACTAGAATGTTTCCCGTTTGTAGCACAATTGCCTAGTAACTTGTCATAAGTTTCTTATTTTTTTTTTAACGTGCAACGTTTATAGTCTAGGTTTTCAGGTGAAGTAAATTAAGCTTCAAAAAAGGTAACCACGAATTTCCCCTCTAAATTTAGCTGGGAGAATGACGTCACATGGCTTCATGTCACGCGACCTATACACAAAAATCATTTCCTCCGCTAAATTTAGCGAAAAAAAAAATGGACGTTACGTGGAATATACGCAAATTCAGTTTCCCCGCTAGATTTAGCGGGGAAATTGACGTCACGTGACCGCAACACCAATTCACTTTCCCCGCTAAATTTAGCGAAAAAAAAAATTGACGTTACGTGGAATATACGCAAATTCAGTTTCCCCGCTAGATTTAGCGGGGAAATTGACGTCACGTGACCGCAACACCAATTCACTTTCCCCGCTAAATTTAGCGAACAAAAATTGACGTTACGTGGAATATACGCAAATTCAGTTTCCCCGCTAGATTTAGCGGGGAAATTGACGTCACGTGACCGCAACACCAATTCACTTTCCCCGCTAAATTTAGCGAAAAAAAAATTGACGTTACGTGGAATATACGCAAATTCAGTTTCCCCGCTAGATTTAGCGGGGAAATTGACGTCACGTGACCGCAACACCAATTCACTTTCCCCGCTAAATTTAGCGAACAAAAATTGACGTTACGTGGAATATACGCAAATTCAGTTTCCCCGCTAGATTTAGCGGGGAAATCGACGTCACGTGACCCCAACACTAATTCCCTTTCCCCGCTAAATTTAGCGGGGGAAATGACGTCACACGACTTCGTGTCGCGTGACCTTCACGTAGATTCAGTTTCCCCCTAGATTTAGCTGGAAAATTGACGTCACGTGACCTATACCTAAATTCAGTTCACCCGCTACCCGTCATTACCCAAACTCTGTAAACACAGGCCGACCCAACGGGGAAAGTCAGTGGGTCAAAAGAGTTCTAGTAGGGTGCCTGGAGCTCGTCTCGTCCGACTGGTGTATTTAGCGCCGTATCCCTCCCATACATCAAGCATAGTCCCAAAGTTCACCGAATGACGTCACAAAAGCTGGAGTGTTCTGTTGTCGGATGACGCGATCCTGGCGGTTGGTCGTAGAAATGCTGGCAAAAAGCACGAGCGAACGCGAGTGTCGCTGTCGTCGCGGCGTCCTAGCTTCTGGCTCCTAAGTTTCCGTGACCTGCCACACTGGAGAGCGATCTGCAGCAGAACAAGCGTCTGCCACATAAACCACAGTTTTTGGGACGCCGCCAGGATCGCGACCTGCGACTTCATGAGACTTTTATGACGTCGTACTGCGCATGCGCGAGGCCGCTGCTGCCTTACCGAAGTCTAGTTTGCGAACCGTAAGCTGTGGTCGAGTGGTCAAAGCGGCTGGAAGGAATGTCATGGTGGCGGTGCGAGAATCAAGTTGAATTCACGACAAATTAAAGAAAACAAACGAAACGTGAACAAGACAGCGGCACTTTTTTAGAATCATACGGTTCGTTTGTTTCAGTTTACGGGGATGTGACATAGCTCAGTTGGTTGAAACGTCGCTCTTCTATTTTTGATGAAGGCACCGACGACAAGTGTTAAACCTGTACGATGACCTAGGCGTTAGTGGCTGGGTGTCCGGTATTTGCAACGCTGAGCGAAGATGAGCTACGTCGGCTTGGTGGAAGCGAAGTTGGCGTAGCACATCCACTTCATCAATCGACGTGAGGATGAAGTGGATGTCGCTGTTAACAATATCCTCCTTTTTGGGGTAGCCCAGCAAAATAAAAACAAAAAAATTAAGTTTTTTTTTGTAATTTTTTTTGTGCTTATCGTCAAAAAGTTCTAGAGCCATGATTACCGCGAATTTCGTCTGCTTCGTTAGCATACGAACTGTTCAGTCCTTCCCATTTATAACTACGGAGTGCTACGTAAGTGAAAAAGAAAAGTTTAGCGGGGAAATTTCTCCGCTAGATTCAGCGGGAAAATTTTTCCGCTAGATTTAGCGGGAAAATTTTTTCGCTAGATTTAGCGGGGAAAGTTTTATGCTAGATTTAGTGGGAAAATTTTTCTGCTAAATTTAGCGGGGAAATTTACCCATAATGCACCGCGCGGTTACGCCGAAGGCGACGCCGACGCCGACGCTGACGGCGACGCCGCTCAAGCCGGAAACGGGCGCCTAAGTGAGCTCTAAAAAAAAAGATGTGACATTGCAAGGAAGTTATTCCATCGCAGCAAGTTGCGTGTTAATGCAAACACAGAGCTCGGCAACTCACTGAGTAATAATCTTTCGTCATTAGTGCCGACCACAAAAATGCGGAAAGTGCACGGATACGCCGTTTCATAATTCTAACTCTCGTGCAGATGGAACCCCGACACAAAACCTGACTTCGGTGCTAGCCCTTTCAGCTAAATCGAATCTGTCAATGAAGTTCGTTGTTACAGACTGATCGACGAGCAGCCGCAGGCGTGGAATTATGAAACTCATTGGCGGTGATGTCATTCGATTCCAGGTGGTAACACGACCTTCGTCGATACAGGAGAAGGTTTGATTCTTCAACTAGACGTTCTAGTCTGCCCATTTGGTGAACTAAACTTCGCGGCGAAGTAAGCGGATATGAAACGCCCGTTTGTTGCAGCCAAAAATACGTCACAGCAGCAGATGACCACAATGACGGCGATTACGGACAAACCAGGTTCGGGTCCTCTGTCAATCAATTTTTTTTTTTCGTTTTTTTTTTCATTTAATTTGTAAGCGTATTGAAGCACGGCTTTTATTGGGTGTCAAAAAACATGTGATGTCGCAAGAAAGGGTTTTTATCGAAGCAAGTTGCGTGCTAATGCAAACAGAGAGCTCGACAACTCGATGAGTAATCTTGCGTCATCAGTGCCGACTACGAAAATACGGAAAGTGCAACAACGCCAGCTCGGATACGCCGCTTCATACTTTTAACTCTCGTGCAGATAAAATCCCGGCACAAAACCTGACTTTCCCGGCACAAAACCTGACTTTGGTGCTAGCTCTCTCAGGTAAATCGAACATGCAATGAAGTTCGTCGTTCCAGTCCAATCGACGAGCAGGCGTGGAATTATGAAACTCATTGGCGGCGATGTCATTTGATTCCAGGTGGCAACGTGACCCTCGTCGATACAGGAGAAGGTTCGATTATTCAACTAGACGTTCTAGTCCGCCCATTTGGTGAACTAAACTTCGAGGCGAAATAAGCAAATAACGCCCGTTTGTTGCAGCGAAAAATTCGTCACAGCACATGACCACAATGACAGCAATTCCGGACAAACCAGGTTCGGCTCCTCTGCCAATCCATTTTTTTTTCTCTTATATTCACCGCTAATTCGTAAGCGTATTAGAGTGCGGCGTTTATAGGGTGTCAATAAAAAAAAAAGACGATAATATATATATATTTATATATATATATATATATATATATATATATATATATATATATATATATATATATATTGTAAGCTTATGGAGAAGCGGCGTTCATTGTCCTAAGGCAAACGGGTATCATCGAGAAAGGCAGTCGCGCGTTCTCCTTTTGACTGCTGCATACATTCACATCAACTATATGCTATGCTTGCACGGGAGATATCGGGAATAAAAGTCGCCTAAACGGCGGGGTCAAAAATCGGTGCCTATATTTTCTCTCCGATTGGTCACAAACAAATAGTGTTTTGCGTGCGTATATCTAACGCTTTGTTTTGGGAAAAAACCGGAAAACACAACCCCACAGCGGTATACACGTTTCGAGCGCGCTTATCACTCAAGGAAAAAAAAAACGCCTAGTCACCGGGATGTGCACTCGTCTGCTAAGGGGATAACTATAGTGCGCATGCTCAGGACATGTTCCACAAAACAACAATCAAAGATGGCGGCGCCCAGAAGCAAACTAGCGGATACACGCATGCGGAGCGCAAGTTTGTCTGCTTCTTGCACAGGGGTTGCGATGATGTCAGAACACCAAGCTCTTATTGGCTGATTGAAAAAAAAAATGAAAGCCGTTTACAAATCCCTGTAACGCCGAATTGGAGCGCAGCTCTTGAGGAGGAGTAGGGAAGGGTACTAAGGGGTGGTCACGTGACCTCGGCGACGGCGACGGCGACGCCGTTCAAGCCGGGAACGGGCCCCTAAAAGCTGCGCTCTAAAAAATAGTAGGTAGACCCCAAGGCCTTTTGATCAAAGCCAATTATCCTTCCAATCCAAGCCAATCCGAACTCGGCGGCATTCTGATGTCACTGCAACTACTGCGCAAGAAGAAGACGACTTGCTCTCCGCATAGCTTGCGTCAGCGTCGCCGCCAAAGCGTCCCGCAGGGTCACACAACGAGCACGACGGGTCTGCCGCCTTGCGGCGACTCAAGTGGATCCGCTTCGGCATGTTTGCCGCTTGGGGCAGGTCGGGGATTCACCAACGATGACGTCATGTACATGACCTTGTCTTATAGGTAGCATTGCCAAGAGCCAGTTATTGGAATGGCCTTAGCCCCGAGAAGATGGAGTGGCGCCGCCTGGCGGGCGGTTCGCGGTGACGTAGGGTCCGGGATCACGTGACCGGCTGCCGCTCAACGCGTGTAGTTAGTCGAATTTTGTTTCCCGTCCTCGTTTACATATAGTTAACTAGTTTGAATACTAGGAGCGTGTGGGGCTCCTACAACCTAATGTCTCGTCGTAGCGCGCGTCAGAGCTACATCTTCTGCCCTGAAAATACTTCAGAAGAGCTAATTGCGGGACAGGCTAAGCGGTGAGCGCGCGGCGGCTGAAGCAGAAGCACGCTAAACTCTCCGAACGCGAGCAGGGGCCGCGAGATGGCGCGGCGTGCGGCGTGCTGCCCGCCCGAAGGAAAGAGCGAAAAGAGAAGCTTTTTTTTGTTTCTTTCGCTCGGAGTCGGGAGGTTTTTCGCACGAAGCAGCACGGCGGCAACGGCGGCGCAGCTTGTTATCGTTTTGGTTTCGGTTGTCGCGTGTTTCGGCCGTCATGGATGATGCTGACGAAGCGCGGGCTACCATTGAAGGTAAGCGAATATTTTCGATTATCGATTCGACCGCGCGCCTTGTTAAAACTGCATGTCCCTTTTCAGTTGTGCTGCCTGTCAGCAGTATCAACGCGTTCGTCGACAAGGCCCACGAGACGTCACGGTTGCTGCTCGAAGGAGAACGAGTCCTGGAGGCGGGGCACGTGTTTTCCTGCAGCGTTAAAAAGCTTGCAGGGGATTGCTGCGCACTGGTAGGGTTCGTCCTGCAAACGTCAGCTTTGAGTTCAGACCCGCACGAGGTAGAGGTCACGCTGAACGGAAGGAACGTCGGCGACACATCATGCTCTTGCAAAGCTGGGTGAGTTATTCTGCAGGGCTTAATTGCTGGGGTAGCGCGTACCTACCGGCCGGGGGCTCTAAATCAATCGAGGGTTATGCAGCACGAGCCGGAGCATCTCACTGAGGATAGTGATATCAGTGAATAAGCATGACGGCTTCTCAAATTTCTTTCGTGGAGCTGCGGCGTCGTTGCAAAGTGTACGCGTCCCGAACAGCTAGTCGCGCTTTCGAAGCGTGGTATTTTTGCTACTGTTTGTTTTGGTACAGTTTGAAGCACAAGGTTTGCAATGTTTTCTGCAATATCCGCTCTTGTGAGTTAAATAATGATCCATGCCGCAGCATATGAATAAGTGTCGACGTGCTTTTACTAGCAGAGGTCATTCAGACTAACAATAGTTGTTAGTGGACTGCGCCCTCATTGTTTTAAAGGTGCTATCATAAAGGTATTCGATGCTAATAATCGTTAGAACGGCAGGCTTTTTAAAACAAGATTTTACAAGGTAAACACTGAAATATTGTTTTTCTTCTGTTTGTTCTGCTGTCAAGTCAGTTAGCACCAAGTTCAACTAATTGGGAGGTGCCAACTTGTACAGCTTTGTGGGTTTTAAAATACTGTTGGAGCTTTAACATTTTTCTGTCACATACTGCAGGAACTACAAGTGCAAGCATCTTGTGGCCATGCTGCTTCATATAAACGCGAGAAAGACATTCAACGTTCTGTCGTCCACGGATCTGCCACAGAAGTGGGGCAAAGGGCAAAAAAAAGCGGTCAGCGAGAAGTATGCGCCAAGGAGGATCGTGGACCTCCCTTGCCTTGAAAAGGTGAGTTATGAGATTTCAATGTACATCCAAATATCTCAGTAGGCCGTTCGCAAAATCCCAGGCATGTCCATATTATGGTAAAGGGCCGTAAGTCCTGCATTATTCGTCTCCTCTTGCGAGCTTCTTAATAAGGACATGACTAACAGTGTCGCAAGGGATAAGTGCACCAAGAGCATACACGATGTAGTGTACCGGTAATTTTAGCGCGCGGCAAACACGCACACAATACACGGCAATATCTCCCCCTTAAGAAAAACTTCATGTTTCACAGGCCCAGCCGCGTAGGTGGCTGACGCGTCCGTGTTGATCTTCTGAGAAGAGGAGGGCTGCCTTCGGTGCCCTGGTCACGTGTGTCATTGAGCGGTGTGGCTGGCGCGCTTGGAGTGCCTGCCTCCGGTGTTACAGGATCGTTCTGGCTGCACTGAATTGTGGTTGGAAAGTCGTCACTGGAAATCGGAGACTGTGAACCGTTTCGCTGACTGATGCCGCGGGAAGGGGCGAACGTTTTCAATGTTTTTGCGCACTTGAGGCTATCGTCTTGCTTCGGATATATTCCCTCTTCCTCCTTGGTTACATGTCTCAGCTGTTCAATGTGCCATTCCAGGTATTTCCGTCGTTCGTGCAAATCTCATATGTACGGTTTTCTAGAACTCGTACGACGACTCCTTTCGACCATTTCTTGCCATTCCTGTAGTCTCTTGCCCAGACCTGGTTGTTCTGATGTAGGTGTCATTCTTTAGAGTTGTGCGAGGCGTGCTGCTTCGCCTGTTTTTATCGCACGACATCCGTTATTGATGGTCTAAGAAGATCGAACCTTGTGCGAAATTCGTTTCCTGTCATCATTTTTGCACGTGTTGAGCCAGTTGTCGTGTGCGGGGTTGTCCGGTATGCCACCAAGAAGTTATGGCATGCCTGTTCCATGGTGAGCCCCGACTTCAGGCTTGCGTTGACAGACTTCTTGAATGTTCCCACGAAGTGTTCCGCTGCACCGTTCGTTGCAGGATGGTTCGGTGGTGAGAACGACTGCTGCACTCCGTTTCTTGTCATGAAACCCCGGAATTCGCTTGATTGGAATTGCGGGCCATTGCCTGTCACAATCCTTTCTGGCAGTCCATATCTTGCAAAGAGTGTTGGAAATGCTCTTATGGTGGCTGCCGAAGTCGTTGAGGTCATGGGCACTACCTCAGGCCATTTTGAATATGCATCAATGATCAGCAAGAAATTCCTTCCTTGAAAGCGTCCTGCAAAGTCTGCATGCACACGTTGCCATTTCTTTTTTGGGTATTCCCACGGGTGTATGGGAACCTTGGGTGCCTCATTGCTCACTTCCTGGCACGGCGGACAACCTCTGACCATCGTTTCGATGTCATGACCCAAAAGCGGCCACCACACGCAGTGTCGTGCCAGTCCCTTCATCTTTGTCATTCCCGCATGACCTTGATGCAAGTCGTTCAAAACGTGTTTTTGGTAGCTTGAGGGTACGATGACGCGTGTTCCCCACATTAAGCAGTCGAGCTCCACGGTTAGTTCTGTTCTGCGATGGAAGGTAGGCTCGAGGTCTTCGGAATTCACTAGTTCCGGCCATCCATCTATGGTGAGTCTTAAAACTTTAGACAACACGGTGTCCTTTCGTGTCTCTGCTGATCTGCTTATGTGCCAGTGGTAGTGGTAGTGCTTAAAACTTTTCTAGATGGAGGCATTTGATTTCGTCCATTCTTGTAGTTTGTGATTTTGTAGCGCGGTTGTCAGTCATTGGAAGTCTCGACAGCATGTCTGCGACTAGGTTCTTATCAGTCGACATATACTTTATGTCGAAGTCACACCCTAACTAGGCGTCACATTCTTCTCGTCTCGCTCGCCCGCCGGCGTCTCCGGTTACTTCAGCCCGTCAGCCCGCCGTTGCCTGAGCCAAAGGTCGTGTTCGCTATGCGCCGCGAACACGCACACGATACACGGCAAACGACCCTCCATACATTTCTTCCATGCCTCATGTACATACTTTGGTGAACACAGCACTAAAAGACTGAGGACAGGAACAAAGAAGCACACAGATATGATGTCCTCCCTCTTAGTGTTTTCACCCGTGTGTGCTTCCGCGCCTAGCCCAAATACATGCATCGCTGCACACCTAATGTGACCTTTCAGGATTGTTGCAAAAGGCCTAGTACATAGATACAAGGCAAAGTTCAAAAAGCCAATAAAAGTTCGGAGGTTGGATTGCCATCCTTGTATTTCTAAAGAAGTGTTATAATACTATACGACAGTGATGCCACACATAGAAGAGCAGATGAAGCTCATAGCAGTCGCTTTCTGACCAGGAATATTGTTTCCAAATGTGCATTATTTGCAGTGGGAAAGCGGTGTCGTGTGGCACCTGTATCATTCACATTGCTATGTATGTGACCTAATCGACAGCATGCAGGGTTCCCGCGCCGTTGGCGGAGTTTGATCCCCGCACCAGTTGTCATCTTGCTGTGCGCGCCTTTATGAGAAGATTCCATAGTTATTTAGAATTTTGTCGATTGTTCTAGCACAGATTGTTTGCGACCAACACGAGTGTATGAAAAAAGCCATTCACTGCCGCCGAAAACTCAGTCCCGCTCGACTCTACGATTATGCTGATATCAACATCAGTTTTCCCCTTTTGCTTTTGGCACAAGTTTGCCCCATTAAGCATTTAGTTCCCCTGTGTATTCGCCACCTTTTTGCTCGTCATTCATGTCAACATCTCTTTCGCATGCCTGTCGTATTTTGTGCCCAAGGACCCAGCATTTTTTATGCCATTCCTCTGCGAGTTGTCAGGATAATGATTGGTGACTTGCCGAAATTGCATTGCAGCCAAATTGTAAGGTTATTCTTGCTCACCTGTGCAACTAAACAGCTTTCCATTCCTCTCAATGTTTATTTTTTTTAAGAAGTCATATCTGGAGATGACATAGCAAAGTGTGTGGTGTATTGATAATGATAATATTTATTCCCACTTATGTAGGGATGCTGGTGACACCAGAGAGACCGAAGGCTCATGCCAGAGGTATGCAGCAGTAAAGAAAAATATCTGCAAGGCTGTTTAAGCAAGTCGTGCTTGTCAAAACAACAAGTTTGTACCGAGAGTTATGCCCAAAACATACTCTTTTTGTTCCTAATTTCACACAAGATTATTATGTTTGTCGGAAACATAAGAACATTTTTTAATTGAACAACAATGCATAACAGATGGCTGACATGTAGCTGCTGTTAGGGATAGCAAGTGGTAACTGTACATTGTAAAGAGATGCCCCAACAGGCACTTGTTTGTAGTACATAACAAGGATGTCTCACAAGTATTGTTCACAAGCACACTTTTGTGAAACATCGCCACCTCCTTGGCTGTCTCTTTGTTTTGTTTGCTATTTCCCTCAGTTGTGGCTCTGCAAAGGGTCCTTGTGAGGAACGATCATGTCAGTGAGACAAGGGCAATGTCCAAGACGTCTTTCAGTCATGAAAGTGATAGTTGATTCCACTTCAACGTTCCATTAGATATCAGAATATAGGAACCCAAAGCTAAAATTCGATGAACTAAGCATTGCAGGTTGTCATTTTCTCTAAAAACAATTCCCTAAACTTGTTTATGCAATCAAGCCAAGCTGCTACGAAACAGAATACATAATATCCATTATCCTAGATAGCAGTCACAGGAAGTGCAACAATCTCTAGCAGAATATGGAACTTTTCTTCTTTTTTTTTTTTTGCAGGTGAAGAGGGATCCTGTTCCACTTCCCAGGGGTGATCTCCTGGGACGGCTGCTGGAGGGACTGCCTTATCGGTCAGCTGCTCAGAGGCACACTGAGGAAATCCGCCCCCTTGGTTAGTTCATAAACATTTCCCTCTCAGCAACTGAACTAGCTACACACACTATTTCGTACCATGTGACATTTCCTGCGCAGTCTTGATAAAAATTCAAGATATTGCATCAAATCGCTCCGACACCAATGACTAGGAATTGCGGGGTGCCTTTCGTCACTGATAGCAGCCTCACCTGCAGCTGAGCGGACAGATAACAGTTGTACCACTAACTGCCTGCCATTCAAAAATGGGCACTCTTGCTTTTCGTAATTGTTTCTGCTTCAAATTTCAATTGGGTATTAATTTTTAATAAACCTTTTGCTAAATTTTAGAGTATCAAGTTGGCCAGAGATTTGACTCTCCAAAGAGGTTTCACTAAATTACCCAAGCATTAAAGGGATACTTCCAACGAAATTTGAAATATACCTGTTGTGTTCAAAAATAGGTTGAATATGATCCACAATATCCGTAAATGACAATCACGCACTTGTATTTTGAGCCTGGTGGCTGTATTCTTCGTTATAAACGGCCCACTCTGGCAAGCGCTCGGAGAGCAGCCAGGGGAGAGGATGTGACATCCCCCGCAATCGTGACGTACTCCGCCTCAAGACGAGCGCAGCTGCGGCGAGGCTGACGTCGAGAGGATATCATAGTCGTTCCAGCCACCGAAGCGGCTGCTTTTGTACGAGTTTTGAGTGACGGGTTAATCTTCTATAATCTTGTAGAGGGACAGTAGCGTCTTCTGGGACACACAAAAGAGATTATCCGGGAGAAAGGGGTTCCTTCTCGTGGTGGCCCGAGGTGAGACAACGGGCACTACAAACAAGGCATTAGCGACAGGAGAGTATGCCTACAGGTGTAAAAATGTGAACTTATTGTGATGGTCCGACTGGCAAATAGCAGTTGAAAGCGCTATTGTCTGGTGCAATGACAGCTGACTTAGAAGAAAATCATGTATCAACGAAACAGGAACGTCTCCTAGTACAATCTACGCTTCATGACCTAAATTACCGTGTGCGGTGGAGCCACGTGCACTGCCTCCCTGCCCAAGTTGACCTAGGAAATTCGCTCCTATGTCCAATATTTTGTTGGACGTAACAAACTAACAAACTTTTGGTTCATGAATTTTAGTTAGTTATACATATCATTGGCTCTCCACCCAACAAGACGCTCGCTAAAGGTGCTGAACTTTATCTCTCACATTTTTTAACACATTGTAAGTGTAAATCGACTCTAACACAAATACCAAACGGATTCAACATCTTTGATATTTCAGAAATATGAGGCTAAAAGATTGTAATCCTAAGTGTTTGATGCATGAAGGAATTCTTTTCCCGTTTGCTTGTCTCTTTGCAGAAAACGCAGCTGCCCCAGCCGCAAGCGGGGAGCCTCCTGCCCCCAGGCTGCCAACACTCACGCGGCTGATTGCGACTACAACTTCGTCTAACCTCGGTGAATTTGTAGAGGAGATGAGGGCAACTTTCTCTGCTGATGTTTGTGCAGCAATCGAGGAGAGGACACGGCAACAATCACAGTCTAACGACTGGTTGATGCACAGAATGGGTATGGCAACAAGCACACGTTGCTATTCTTTCAAAACAAAAGCAGAGAAGCTGAAGAAGGAGCCCATGCCACACAACCTGGGGCCCATACTGAACTCAGTTCTTTGCACAAGCACATTTCAGTCGGCTGACATGCGGCGCGGAATCATGATGGAACCGGATGCAAGAAAGAAATACGCTCAGATCCTTGAATCACAGGGCCACACGTGCATTGTCTCAAACAGAGGCTTGTTAGTTTGGGACCAGTTTCCCCTGATGGGCTGTAGCCCAGATGGGATAGTTACATTCACCTGTGAATGCTGCGAGGGAAAGGAACGTGTTCTCGAGATAAAGTGCCCTCGTCAGGTGGCGAATGCATTCTCAAAAGGCAAGCCAACGGCCCCCTTCTACACACAAATCCAAGTACAGATGGGGATTACTAACATTGCAGTTTGCGACTTTTTTGTTTATGGGGGTGGTGAGAACTGGAGGGCACTTACTGTGCCCTTCGACGCTGCACACTTTAACAAGTGTGCAGCTGCTGTTTATGAGGTGTACGAGAGATATCTCTTTGCAACCCTGAAGGGTTTGTCGGAATACTACTCGTGGTAGTGGGTTAGTGAATGGCAAGTGCAATGCAATTGTATTTTGTGGTTGAAGTGATTGACTTTCATGTGAAAGCTGGAAGGCTGAGATGTTTTTGCAATTGTGAGTACTGCATGCTTGGAAGCTGGTAAATAAAAAAGTGCAGAAAATACATGTACTAGTCAGTGATACAATATTTTTATTTATTTCATCAGAAACATTCTTAAAAACTGAGCTAACATAACATAAAACTAGAAAAGCTTTTTATAGCCCGTAATCAGGGGGGGACACATTCAAATGCATTTAGAAAAGCTATGTTACCCTGCCCGACGTCCCCTTAAGTGCTTAAATATCTGCTGTCTTTAAACAGGGGCTTCGAAAGGTTTACAAGCCCTGCAATGATAGCGACAATGTCATCAATTTGCGGGAGCAGGTCTGTGCTGAAATTGTCGCGGAGAATTCTGAACAGCTTCATGCGCTGAATGGCACGCTCAACATGGACACGTGCGGCTGCAATGTTCTGGTTGCTCTTGGCGTCCTGCATGCTGAGCTGTTCCTTTTTACGAAGGAATGGCGGGCGAATCAGTTTCACCTTGTGTTCAGAACACAGCTCATCAATCAAAAACCCCTTGTCGACCATGACACTGTCAATGAAAGGTAGGCATTTTTCCAAAAGCCCACTTTCCTTTGTAATGTGAGTGTCTGATGATCTGCCACAATAGGCCGGACTAACATAGCTAATGAGGCCACCTGGTGTCTCGCACACAAGCACCTTTGCAGTGTGAGTCCCTTTGTAGTGGCTGTAGGTCAGAAGCTGAGACTCCATGTTCTTAGGCCTTTGGAGAGGAATTTCCGTGCAATCGAGCACCATGCGGCAGTCTCTGTACTTGTTGAAGTACTTAGTCAGGGACTGCAAAACAGCTTCCTTCTCCGGCCAGAAAATGGCGTGTCGCAGTACTGCAGCCAGAATTGGCACCGACGCTTTGAATATGTTTGAAGCGGTCGTGCGATGGATACCGAACAGGACGCCAAGAAGTGAGAACGTCATGTTATGGTACAGCTTCATCATTGTAAGTAACACGGCATCCTCATTACTGATGCAAAAGTCTTTTCTTTTGCCCAACATTCGGGACTCGCCATAGAGGTCAGTCAGGTTGTAGAACAACTGGAAACAGGGTACACAGGTAAGTGTCGTGAGGGCCTTCTCGTCCTTGACCCTTGCGATTCCCAGCACTTGATCTCTTTCAAGTTGCAGGGTGTCGGCTTGAACACCAATTTCTTCCCTCAGGCTGCTCAGTTCAGCTTCAAGATCTGGAACGTTCAAAACAACTTCGGTGTAAACTAAAATCATGTTGACACAATTCCTACATTGTAGGCAGGCAATATTAACTCTCTTCACCTTCGGTGTCTGCAGCATCTGCACTCTCGTCAAGTGTGCCTGATTCAAGCGTACTCTGTTTGCTGCTGGCTTGTTCGGAGCTGCTTGGTGGGTTCAGTTCTGATAAGGCGATTGCTGCAGGCAGGTCATCGTCTGCTGTTGGAACCATGAAGAGAAAACTTCTTAGTGTTACATAATTGCAGAGCAAGTCATCTAAGACGCATCACTGTGTTCTAACTTGTGATGCCACTCTGCAGAAACGGTAAACATGTATGCTGTAGGCAAAACTTTAATGCCTGCTTAACGCAGCATCCGATGGTCACGATTCGATATGTACCATACAAGCGCGAGCACTCACTCCGATGTTTGCTTCTATTCGAACTTGCTCGCTGCTTCAGAGGCTTGTCAAGTGGCCGTACAGGTAGATTCTGTGACGGCACGGTTCCCGCGGCGAGTCTCCTTTTTTTCCAGCCTGTCAAAAGCGAACGCAACAAACATCAGTCACGGTCCAGTTCGAGCATGGTGCTAACTCAGCAGCGAAAAAAATACGTGTTTACAAAACACGTCTTTCATATGTCCTGTTTTGTGAAAACAAATCACGTTGAGATGCACGAATTTGCGGCATTGCCCACTGTGGCAACTTCTTGTACTCGTCGCTAATCTTTACGCACAAAATGCGGGCGAGCGTCGATCTTCCACCAACACCGTGGGGGGTAGGTTCACGAAAAAAACTTCAGAGCACTTACCGAACACCTGCCATCCAACTGCGTACTCAAAGTCTTCATCTTGAAAGTGCTTGCTACACACTGTCGAACTCTTCGAGTTTAATTTCCCCATTCTCAGCTTCACAAGCCACTCATCCCGCAGCCGTCTCTCCTTGGGATACACGTGGAAACTGACGCCTGGATCGGTCGCGTAGCTCCGGCATTGCGGTACGGAACAGTACCCTACCATCGCTCCGTGAGCTAGAACGTTCCCGACGCCGAACCTTCAAGCGCGAATAACAGTAAAACAATACTGGGCGAACGATTCCTGCGGCTACGCGCTACATTACAGAGCCAAACCGACCAAAGCAAAGCAAGACGGAATACCAGAAATTAGCTTGCCTTGTCACGTGATCCCCAGTCCTACGTCACGGTCGAGCGATCGCGGCGCTCCAATCGGTCCCGCTCGGGGGAAGGTAGGAGAAGCTCCTCCCACAAGTGTGATGCGCCCGTTTCAAATCTCTCCGCAGTCGAAAGAAGAGTTCACTGGAAACGCTCCTTGTTCCGCTTCAATGGATTCCCAATTGTCTCCGATCCCACTTTTTAAGAAAGCGACCTTTGTATTCATCGGAGAGAGAACCGAGCCCCTGAAAGCAGCCTTTGTATCCATCGGGGGGGAAGCTAATCCCCGAAAGTCGTATTTGTTTCCGTCGGTGGGGGAGAACTCTAATCTCCCTCTCGTGGCTTCCACAATGCTAAGTCAAAGTCGAAAGATAAAGCAAATATGTACAGAAAGGCAAGACCCTCCTCGCGCGTTGTCCGCGACGTCACGGAAACGGTGGGGCGCTATTGGATGCGAAGGTGGCGGAGGGATATCTGATTCCCTTTGAGGGGCATTTGCCGCTACCTTCTTAACCTGTAACCGACTATAGTGCTCAACACAAACCAATCAATCGAACTGAGCGTTCTTTCAGATGTGAATGGAAAAGCGCCTCTGCCCCTGAGCCCGCCAGCTGCTGGTACCTTAGGTGGGGGAATAACTTGATTGGCCGCGTCAGATCAGCCGTTCTAAAGAGAGTACAAACCCCTGCTCACAGACAGGAAGCAATGTCATACGTTTCTAGATCGCAACGTAAAGCCGCCTGATCCGCCAGGTCCGAAAGCTCCTGGTAACTGTGGTATGGCTTGTTGAACAACCATTACGGTGCATACCATAGTCGGTGACAGTAAAAGAACCCAACAGATGTTCCGACTCGAGCACGAGCTTTGTGTCTAGATACGTAGCCTCCTCTAAATACACGAAGCCTGGCCGTTCGACGACGGAGCCATATATAGTGTCCGGTCGCAGATTTGAAGCGCGAGGATCTGGTAGCACAGAGCACCAAAGACTCATTTCTCGGGGAACCTGGACGTCAGCGTACAGATTTTACAGCGGCGAGGACCCGAAACACACTTGTTCGCTCGGCGTCTCGCCGCAGCGGGGCGCCAGTCACGTGGCTCTCCGGCTCTCCTCTGATCCGTTGTGTGCCGCTCCACCTTTTCCATTTCAGCGGCCGCTTCTCGTTGCAACCTGCCAGGCTTTGTCAGTATTTAGGAGGCTATGCTAGATAATACTTCGTCGCACGCGCAGTGAAAGTCTGGCAGAAAACGGTTACGAGCGCGTGCTGGAGGCGAAGCCTCATCTGTCACCGACTACAGTATAGTTCTCCAAGAACTTCGTTACTCATCTTATGCAACGCCATATCTTCAACAGACGCAAACGCAAAGCATCCAGAGCCTACAAATTTAAAAGATCCCGCTAAGCTGGGTACGGTGTCTCTGACAATTATGATGACGTTTGTAACCGACCAGATGTTTTTTTTTTTTTTTTTTTTTTTTTTTCAGACAAAAACGCAAAAATGCCCGAGTCTGGCCCGGCGGTTCCTTTTAACCTGGGTATAACCTCAGCCAATTATTTTAGTTCGGACTACATATATATTTTTCACAAACTGAATGAACAAAATGTCGTTTTAGGCGTTAACTCTTCCAAGCCCGTAGTTCCAGTACCTGCAGTTCCGATTCATCTAGGTCTGTTCCATGGGCTAATTGCTACACTTCACAAACGAGAGTTTGTCAGGAAAAAAAAAACGTACGTTATTTCTTTTCAGTTAAACACGGGTCCAATCCTGAGGTTACTTTAACAGCCGTTCCAGCCAAGTCAAGTAAGTTCAACAAGCAACGAAATGAATTAACCAGTTCTTAACAAACTAAACAAATTCGTCACTTGCCGCACGTCATCCTCTTTCAGACGCAAACACGTCGAAACCAGATGTTTCAATACCAGGAGCTCCTGGTATAAGCAAATAATTAGTCTCGCGATTATTAACGAGCTATAAATCGTTGGTCACTAACCGTACGTGGGATCATTCGTCTGCAGGAGGCAAAGCGTCAAAGCTCGGGGATCCTGCACCAGAAATTCCGACCAATCGGGGTATGTTTATCAATAAATTGTCCAGAATATGCCGAAGTTTTGCTTTGACGCGGAAAGCTGATTTGTCGTTCTGAGACAAAGCAGACATTGAAGTCAAATTCTACGTGTCAGGCTGTTCAGTGTGCAAATCGTGCGCCACAGACGTAGACAGGGTAATAGAAGAACAGACGATGGGTCAGACTTAATACATTTTTCTTCATCGAGGCTCGAATGCCCCAATGAAATTGTGTCGTTCGCTTTCGAACTTAGCACGAATTACTGGTGCCGAAACAATGGGAAAAATCTGTGCTCACGGAGGCCAGGATGAGGCACACCAGATGTATAGACGTTTGCAAGAACGTCTTTTGGGCGGCCGCCATCTTACTGCTGGTGTGGGTATCGTCTGATAGTCAAGCATTACTCAGGTGTACCCACGGTTTCAAGACTGGCGCCCAAGCAAAGCGGTTTGCCGTTCACGAAGGCCAGACTAGCCCTCGAAGCGCGGCAGCTTGCAAACGTCTATATATGACTCTAGGGCCACGCACATAGACGAAAACAATCATGCAGAGAGTAAAAGCAACTTCATCATGCGAAAGTGTGTAACCGGAAAGGGGACGTGAAAGGTTTAAAGGGACACTGACACCCCCGAAACCAAAATTGAACTGGGGAGGAAGAAGAAATGCAGAGGAGAGAGTTGCCAAAAGTCACGTGGCTGTGCAATTTTTTTCTTTATTCAACGTATTTGCAGTTTTTAAAAGCCACAAAAAAATAGGTCTCATATTTTTTTGTTATTTCTATATTGAAGGTGTGCCTTCCATGACGCACGACTTTTATTATAATTGGTGGTTGTGTCTAAACCACAGAAAACGGCATGTGACTACGAAGAAGAGAGTGAGCGCGACTCAAACCGGCCAGTTCTCGATCGGCGGTTTTCGGGCGCAAAGAAAACAAAGTTCGAGCCGCAAATTGTATTCTGAGTAGTTGGGCTCTCATATGTCATGTGCAAATAAAGAATGGAAGACGTTTACAATTATCTTTATTGCCAAATTGGAGCTCAGCTCTTGAGGAGGAGGAGGAGGGAAGGGTATGCCCTCCTCCCCCTCCGTACCCTCCCCTCCTCCTCTCCTGCTCCCCTCCCATTTAGCAGACACTTTTCGCTAAGTTTAGCGAAAATTTTCCCGCTAAATTTAGCGGAGGAATTTCCGCATCATGCAACGCGCGGTTACGCCCGCTTGCATTATTCCCATAATACAACGCGCGCGGTTACGCCGACGCTGACGGCGACGCCGCTCAAGTCAGAAACGGGCGCGGAGCTGCGCTCTAAAAACCTTGGCGAGCATAAATACCCTGTCAGTGTCCCTGTAAAGGGGGCGGGGGAGGGGGTGTCCTCCTGAAGATTACAGCAGGTACGATCTGACAACAATGCATTAGCGTAGTCGCATCAAGCACGACATCTAATACGAAATTCCGAGAGTCACCAGAAGGATAGCACTTTAATTACCTTGAACGTACTCAATTTAAATTTTGAATGGCGGCTCTGATGTAACACCTGCGCTTGCCCACACTTGGGGTGGGCATGCGCGAACTTGTTTTCCAACAGCATCCTGGTCTTTAATGGCGTTGAAGCGACGCCAGAACAGACTGTGACTTTTACTGGGTCGCTCGTAACGCGAAGGACTCGCTCTACTGCACATTACTGGTTTCCTCTTGTCCTCATAGCGCGTCTGCAGTGATATTACTGATTTCCGATTTGGGCGTACAGGCGGGGGACTGGCGCTACCGCAGAGGCCACTGTTCTGTCAGCTGGACCGGACAATCTCACGATGGCTGGCATCTTACTGCACCCACCTGCTCTACGGACATCTTTCCCTCTATGCGGGCAAATCATCGGTGCACGTCCGAGACTTGGACGCTGATGCAAAACGTATGGTTACGCTTCATTATGGTACTTATACTTGATATAAAAAAGCCTGTATCAAGAGCAGTCGGAAAGTAGTATTTCAGATTTTGTCTACTCTTCAACGTACGGGGGACTAATCAATAAGTTTGGCCTCCTAGGTTGTAACTGTTTTATTCGTGTCTTCTCTTTTCCGGGAGCACATACCTTTTTCAGTATAAGTATTCCCCACCAGCAGCGATGCACTTCCGCTTCCGGTGCACTAATCTCTGCATGCCGCCGTAGAAGAATGAAGGCGGCACTTGACGACAACAACGGCGCGCCGCCTCGGCAACCTCGTGGTAGGACGGAAACCGTGTACCCTTTAGACGTTTCTTCATCTAGGAAAACAGCCAGAAGTCTGATGGCACGAGCTCCGGGCTGGACGGTGGGAGAGGCAAAACATCTTGGAACTGCAGCTGCTCCAACGCGGGGTTGGTCTCGTCAACAGCCGTCCTCATACTTCTACGACGGCTTGCAGAGACTAGTGCATCGCCACTGGTGGGAACTTTATCGAAAAGTTACGTCCTTCTAGGAAACAGGAGGTTTCAAACTTTAATTTGAACGTAACATCTTTCAATGATCCATCACTGAATAAAAAAAAAATTAAGGCTCTAATCCACGCATTGAAGGGGGTTGGACAACGTGCGACGCTGTGGTATCACCTGCAACGATTGCCCACTGCAGTATAGACCCTTTTTATGGCAAACTCCACCAGGTGGTGCTCCAGTCTTTAACGACCCAGAGAACTTCCTGTTTATAAAAAAAGAATGAACAAAGGCCACCTTAACGCCGCTGCTTAAAATGTAGGTGAAACGTTTAACCATCAATTCTCCAGGTGAACGCCAAAAGAACGAAGGAGTGCGAGATCTGCTAGACGTTTCGAAAATTTTTCTAAATCAACTTGCCTCTAAAATGTAATATTGTACAGCCGAAGGCCGGGCCCTCGTGAAATCTCCACTTTGTTGTCCGTGTAGCATTTATACTTTCTAGCACCGGTGACATAAACAAGCTCAACAAGCTTGCGAAGACGGTGAGACCGGAAGTCGCTTGGGACGCAAGCGGCAGTTCATGGTTGTAAACAGCAAGAGTCTGTACCAAATGATTGACGAAAGAAAAGTAAAGGCACTGTACCAAAACCTTTTACGTATGAGACTGCCGTTGCCGCAGCCGCTTATGCGACCGCAATCTTTACCGAGAAACGCATGCGGGGAACGCTGCGTGCATCGCATTGTTAGTGGGGCTAGTAACGTCACTTTACATTTTGTAGTCTGCTGTTGCCGCGGCAGGTTATGCAACCGCAATCTTTACTAAGAAATGCATACGGAGAGAGCTACGTACTGATAATCTGCCACGTGGTTTTTACACTTGTTTTATGGTTTTCTTATTGAAAAAAGTGCCAAAACCACATGATAAATGATAAGGCGCGCGAGAAGGGTGATAAGGCAAGCGCGATGGTTTTCATTCGACGGGCACGAAAAAAAACCTACATACGAGTCATATACAGCTTCGCTGTAAAAGTTACAACCTTGAAGCTAGGATGCAACACTTATTGATTACCCCCTCGTATATATACAAACAAATCCTATTCCTGCAAGGTTTGTCGTTTACCAAGAAAGACTGAAATAAACAGTCACTTAATTTTGAAAACAATAAAGGAAAATTGAAGGTGTATTTTAATCTATCTATCACACCATCATATGCGGAACAGCACTTTATGAGAAACACCGCCGACAGCCCACGTTCAATATCCGCCTTCCCGACACGCGGCGCCGCGTCTTTTCGAAGCTTCATCTCACACGCCATTGCGTCTTTTCGAAGCACCGCCGCGTCGCCCTTTGCGACCTCTTTCTTACAACGACACGCGCGCGTCGTCTTCTCCTGTTTCGCGTCGACATTCTGCGTGACGTGACTGTGACGTATAGTGCAAGTGACCAATGGAGCGAAGGCATTCAGCACTACGGCTTTGCTATCTGCAGTCGGTGACAGGTTGAGATAAAGCAGAAGTTTAGTAGGATACGTTGTTGGGCTAGTTCAGGGGTGGCCAAACAGCGGCTCGCGAGCCGCATGCGGCTCTTTGCTGGTCACGGTGCGGCTCGCGGATCCCTCGTAAGGGGACCCCCCCCCCCCCCCCCCCCCTTTCGCCGCCCCCTCGCCCCTTTCCGTGTTTCCCCAGGAAACTATAAAGGATTTCAGAATAAAGAACAGCTTGCGGTTTGGCAGCCTGGTGCCCCCAGACGTACAGAGGAACCGCTTTTCACTCGTATGTTTTCACGGATCCTGTTTCTTTCATTGTTCGAGGGAGTTTGCCGGACCCTAGGGGGAAAGGCATCAAGGAGAGGGACTGTGAAAACCTCCATACACTTTACCTTGGGGTCGAGGAAATGTTTTGTCTCGCGGTCTTTGCCACTCGCCGGTGATACTTGTCCCCTTTAGGTAACGGATGTTCCCTCTTTATCGTTTCTTGTTGAAGGTCGCGGAAGCCCGGTTTGACCTCATTCATAGCTTCCACTAGTCACAAACGTTTGTTCAAGTTTACAAGGGACCAGAAACATTTTCATTGTTATTTTTCCCGGCTTGCAGTTGTGACCCGCAAGCTGTTTTATTATGCTTTCGGGGGGGGGGGGGGGGGGGGGGGGGGGGGTAACCAGGTAGTGGTGTTTGTTTTGCCCCCCCCCCCCCCCTTTTTCGGCGGCTCTTAGAAGTTTCGTGGTTTCCTTTGCGGCTCTTAGGCCGGGTCAGCCTGGCCACCCCTGGGCTAGTTGGTTCATCTTAGTAAAACATAAAATAGCGCAACAGAAAGACAAGGACAAGAAATATACAGGACTGGCGCTAACTTTCAATTTCCTAATAAAACTAGTTGAAAGTTAGCGCCTGTCCTGTATACTTCTTGTCCTTGTCTTTCTGTTGCGCTATTTTATATGTTTTACTAATAAAGCAGAAGCTCCGCCCGAGCGCCAGCTTTCTGCCTATGATAATACTTCGTCAGAACCAGTGTCGACTGCGGTCAGGAGTGAAACAGTACATGCACTAAATCAACCCTCTGACGTCACGGTACCGCGGTGTAGCTGCTGTCGGCATTGCGCATGCGCAAACTCTTCTCGCGAGTCTGGTTCTGCATACGCACAGTTGCTGCTGTGGGCAAACGCGAGCCTGCTTGTGAACAGTGTGTTGGCGTACGGAATGCAGTTATACGTTAAAAGCATCCCCGAGGGGCCTGGATTGTACCGCGCAGAGCAGCTGCAGTACCTGTCGGTGGTGAGGCACGGGTGGCCACACCTGAGCGTCCTGACGACCCTCGGCGGAGACGAGAGAGACGACAACGCCCTGACAAGGGCCCTCGAGGGCGGCGACCCCGCGCTACAGGCCCTCGCCAAGGAAGTGGCCGCAGCGGTCCGACTCAACGACTTCGACGGCGTCAACCTGCACTGGGCAGAGCCGGACCTTGATGGGGACGTCGAGCGGGACGAAAAGGGATTCAGCACTCTGGTCAAGGTTAGAATAACTGTGCAGGCTTCGCTTGGAAAATAAACTATCGCAGCGATCTTAATTACAGCGGAGCTGTTTAGGGCTAGTTTCCCGAGGATCGTGTCCCCCGCAAAGAAATGTCGACACAAACCTCTGGGCAGCTACCGCCATCTGTGAGCGACGGCGGCAACCACACAAACGGTTGACCGGCCTCGCTCATAGATGGCGTCAACCTTTCCAGCAATTCTACTCTGGTTTTCACTAGAGTGGAAAAGCTGAATTTCTTTAGGCGTCGCCCTAGATGTCGTCCTAGAAGTCGTCCTTGAGGTAGTCCTTGAGTAAGAGGCTGTAGTTGAGCTTGTTGGTGCAAAATTCTAGATGTTCAGCTGGCTATTTCTAGTAGTCCTTGAGGTCGTTCTTGATGTTGTCCGAGAGATTGTCCTCGAGATCGTCCTAGAAGTCATCCTTGAGGTCGTCCTAGAAGTCATCCTTGAGGTCGTCCTAGACGCCGTCCTTGAGGTCGTCCAAAGCGTCGTCCCTGAGGTCATCCTAGACGTCGTCCTTGAGGTCACCCTAGGTGTCGTCCTCTAAGCGACGTCGTAATCGGATTATGACGCGCCCAAGCGCACCCCAACGAGGAAGATGGCGGCGCCCTAAGGCCGGACTTGCAAACGTGTATATGTGCGGCCGCCATTAGTTGGTCATGCCCTGTGAGCGCGCATTGGGCACGAGCGCATCGTCAGCATTCGGACCGTGCTCGGATCGAAACGCATTCCTCGAGTGCTCGGTGCATACTCGGAACCAATCATGTGCTTCACGCCGGAAGCGATCAGACCAACAAAATGGCGGCTGCGCATAATCTACGCATCATTTCAGATTTCGGAAAGGGTTGCAAAAAGAACGCAATTACTTACGTCAAAGTGGCACACACAATGTCAAGAAGTTCGAGAAGCGTCCTGGTCGTCAGACTTCAGTGTAGGAGTTAACATTTCGCGAACGCAGAGGGAAAAATATGTCCTGCTCCAAGCTCGGCGCTCCGCAAGGCCACTTCCTGGCAAGCGCTGTAGGCAAATTTGGCGCACGTGACCCCTTCTCCGCCAATGAGTTGGGTCGAAAGAAAAAACGAAGGCGATACTATGGCTCCGCCATTTAAGTTGGCATCGGGCGCAGGAGCAAGAAAAAGCGGTCGCCCTGTTAGTGCTTTGCCGTCTTGTGTGTCGGCGGCGTAATCCAGGGTGTAGACACATGTCTGAGCAAAGCCAAGGTGGGCAGAATAGTATAGGACTGCGATTTGAATCAACTAATTAAACGACCTATATAAATCAATTATTGAGTTAATCTTTTAATTTTAGTTTATTCGTCGGTCGGTTGAATAGCTGTAGACATCCGAGGCTGCTACGGTCATCATGCCATCGCCACCACCAAACTCAACATAAATAAATTATTCCCTGGAGAAACAAGTTTCTTCGCGATAGTACGTCATAAATAAAATGGTCTAAACGGTGTAATACATTTGCTGTTAGTTCCTGCGGGAGAATATTCTTTCTTGTCAACGTTGCATTCTGTATTTCACGCTGCAACTGCCTACGGGGGTGATGGATAGCCAGTAAAACTCCACGCTATTTTTTCTTGAGTCCATCGTTTAAACTCTGGTTTAAATAAATAGTTCAGGGTAGAGACTCGTCTCAGTTTTCAATTACAGAGTTTGGTAGTTGGCAGCTTGACGTCGGTAAAAAGATGCATCAATTTCTTTGTGTCCTTTTCTATATTTCTATAAGCAACCCATAGACTTCAATGCACACCAAATGAATCAATACATTAATTGAAATGGTTTTATACACGTACTGCTGCTGCATCACAAAGGCAGTACGATTCCTAGCAATTGTGCCCCCGAAATGTATAATATTTTGTTCATTACCTTGTAATACCTTAACTCTGATCCTCCACATCACCGATCAATTCAGAGCCTCCTTATGAGCGATTAATTACTCGATGTAACCAAATAATTATTCAAATTATTCGTATCGGTGCACCCTACTCAAAAAGCCATCATGGATTTTTTTTTTTACCCTGGCAGTGTGAATTTTTTTTCTTTTTTAAAGGGGGGAGGGGGGGGGGGGGGGGGTCACCATGCAGGAAGCTTGTTATGATTACAGGACCACTTAACAGGGCCCACTTTAGAAAACCGCGAGAATTAGCAGTTCTAATGCACGGACTAAATACGATAAAAAAAAAATAAACGCAAGGTTTGCAATATTTACGTACGTGGGGTACGACCTACAAAACCTCGTGCTGTACGCGTTCATTTCTGTACGACTTTTTTTTTTTTTTTTTTTACGTGACTTCAAGTAAAAAACAATCCGAGCTAAGTGATTCGTTCCAGCTGCTCCGGCAAGAACTGGGCCCGAAAGCCATCATCGCCGTGATGCTTCCCAACGACAGGGAGACACGGAGGGCCGTCTTCGACATGAGATCACTGCTAACGTAAGTGAGATCACGCATCTCGACAGACATGACAGGCAACGAGAGCTCACAGCCCAAGAAAATATGCGCGAGAACAAGCACGAAGTGGCAACGATTCCTCATGCTGCTCGCCTTGCGCTCGGGATGATCTTGAGTTGATCAGCCCAAACTAACCAACTGTTTCGTCTGCTTTTCTTCAGTGATTTGTATGTTTTTTAACAAAAAATCTGACTGATTAATAGAGTGATTGATTAAAATGCGTTTTTTGTTTATTATATCGGCGAGCAGTGTCGATTACTTACTATGGCTAATGGGACCAGACCATTACTAATTCTTATGACCAAAAACCGGTTATTTTCTACGTCCTATCTGCTCTTCCTACTTCCCTATAAGCTCGTATCAATTTGAGAGGTAGTAATCGATATACATTCACACCGAAGAGGAGATTGCATCTTGCGAACTGGTAATTCCCGTCTTGAAGACGCACACGGATATCTGCAGTGCTGTCTGGCGGCTGAAACTTCTCGAGGCATTGAAGTGATTGCAACCACACACTATAGACATAGCCGGGCTTTCCATGCTAACCAGTGGAGAGTGTTTTAATGGTTAGCGGTTACCGGCTATTCGTTTTAATTTTGTTACGAACAATTCCTGTACGCGTGCACAGGAACGCCAACTTCCTGTTCGTGAACACCCACGAGGTGCTCAGTCCTTACTCGGCCCTGACTCGTTTTGCTGGACCTGCGCGGGAGGCTGAGACTGGCGGCATGGTACGAAACCATTTTGTTACCAGTACTATTCATCTCATAATAATAATTAGTATGTCGTGTATGTTTAGATGACGGTAAGTTAGTCAGCTCTAATGGGTGTGTGATGTCGCCGCTTTAAATGAGAAATTCAGCCAGTGCTGAACCACAGCTAGCCTGAAGTCTTTAACGTGCATCACTCAGTAGTGATACGCGACCCTGCGCTTATACGATGCTCGTTAAGACCTCTAGGTGCAGGGGGTTGAGGATTGAGCCACGGGTCTCTGGGTTCTGCAGAGGCAGCTTTCGCTCCCCGTGCTCCGAACCGCGGTGCACAAACACACAGACACCAATCACCCGCTCTTCATCTTGCATGCCATCATTTTCATTATGGTGGATCTACTCGGATATTTAGAAAGAGAGGATGAATTGAATTCCACTTCAGGCGGTAGGCTCGCGTTGTTGTAAACTTGATATGAAAAGATGAGCTTACTTGATGAAGAATGATAGACGTGGGAGCATCGTCTAGGTTATTTCTTTGCATTCGGCAGTACCACAGGTAGTTTACCTAAGGACCGTGGCAGCATATTATCGAGTAATTTTGCACCATGACAACGGAGCTTGCTGAAATAGCTCGCAGAGGGTGCCGTCGTCAAGGCTATCGTCGCGCCTAACGCATCAAACTGAGCAAGCCGTTTTGTGTCGAGTAGCCAGTCAGAGGCATCAACCCCACAAGACATCCCACGAGAGCTTCGATTGATGGTCACTTTCGTCTCATCTGTATTTCTTGCCACGGGCATATTGTCGCGGATGGAAAAGGATTGCCAAACGTAAAACTAAAAATAAAGGTATAATCGGCGAACTTGTACCAAAAACAAAAGAGAGAATGAGCCTCGAAAAAGCGGAAGCGAACCTCGAGGCGTCGGCGTGACAGCTGGATAGAGCAAGACTGACTCAGTAAGGCCATGCTGGGTAGCTCCTTATCTAATACACTCGGTATCTCGAACATTCGGGGTAAGGGTAAGCACGAATCTTCTAGGAATACGGAGAAGAACGAATTAATAAAAGTAACGTCCGGCGCCGGGCATCGAACCCCGGACGCCTGTGCGAGAGCCACGTGCGTTCCCTCCCAGTCATGCACGCGGCAATATTAGCAAACCCTGCCTTCGCGAAACTATGGTAATGGCACGATGGCTTAGAATGAAGCGCCCCTACTTTTTAAAAAGAAAATGCTCGCTACAGAAGGTAACTAGACAGATGAAATAGCAGCAAACACACCATTCATCGCCCGCTTTGCCATGGGCAGGATGAGAACGGCATTGCGTCTCGTTCGAATGCCCGGCCTGCTGCAGGCGCTCGTTGCCTTTCATCGTGCTTTGACTGCGCGTGCACGTTCTAGGCTCGTGAGATGCCGAGGCGTCATCGAAGGCACGGAAACTCGCGCTGGAAGCGAGACAGCTGAAGGCCTTCCCTGCTGTTGTGATCCTGCCAGTAACTGTAACCACTGAATCGATGTGGCATTTTGGTCAATCATTCCCGCTTCGAATTTTACCTTCCCATAATACACGTACAAAGTGAGGGAGAGGAGAAGGCGACAGTGCGTGGGGATGTTAGCGCACCCTGCTCTGGTTGGGATGATAAATGGGTAGAGGCAAAGCTTACTGTAGAGACCGGTTATAACGAAGTCAACAGGAATCGGAAATCACTTCGCTATATTCGCTATTTCGTTATAACCGACTTAAATTATAACGAAGTGCAAAAGGGAATGGGACATCGTGATCTCTTCGCGGTAGCCGTCCCCAGGGTCGGATTCAGAGAGAGGGGGGGGGGGGGGGGGGGGGGGTTCGGATGCCCTGATCGCCCTCTTGAATTCTGCATATGTAACTATTTAGGGCGTGGAAACGGGAAAGGGGGGGGTGTCTTAAACACATGATACGCTGACCAACACCTGCCCCCTCCCCCCCCCCCCCCCCCTTTCAAAAAGATACCTGCGTCCGGCCTTGGCCGTCCTAAGCATTCTCCTTGGTGCTTGGGTAATTTGGCCCAAGTTCTATTCCAGGGCCTTCAGCCTCGATGTCTGTGTTACCGTTACGACAACCACCATGTGACTGGAGTCTGTTGATGCGCAAACGCAGTTCAAGACGATCACCGAGGTACTGCACGAACTGAACACCAACAGCACCCGCAATCTCTGCTTTACCGTGGGTCTGGCCGGCGTCGCGTACCCCGTGAACCCAGAGGCCAAGCTGGACGTATACCTTCCACTCAAGAGCAGCGAGGTTGCTGCAGCGGCTGGCGGAGCTCAAGTCGCGGGCCGAGCCACAGCCGAAGCCAGCAAGGAAGGCCGGCCGGTCTCGTACGAAGAAGTATGTGCCAGCATTGCGCCTCTGTAATTAAACAATTTTTTTTTTAATTTTTTTAGGCACAGCATGCAAGTGGATTATGCGGTGCACGCGCTTTGAGCACCCCATAAGCCATCGCCTATCAATCACCCCCCAGCATGGCTAAAAAGTGGTTATTAGGCTAGGATAAAAAAAAAATTCTTAATGTTATATTTAATTTGCAGATATGTATGCCCTACACGATGTCTAAGAGCTGAGTAGTCATGTATATATATGGCCCCGCCAGATATTGGCGACGAGAGCGATCGAGAGCGTCGCTGTGGTCGGCCCACCCCAATTGGCCGAATGCTGACTATGACGTCAGCAAAGGATGTCTCATCGACGGAAATAAGAGGAATGTAAGAACTTCAATTTTGACGGTGTTGGAAGTGCTGCTTTGAGGGCGCTATGATTTCAGGCTTTCACCATGCCCATTACGAACACCATCGAACTTGTTGTTCACAAAGTAATGACGTCACGAAAGGTAACCGAACGAGGGCGCCACCGAAACATCTCGCCGCTAATAGCCGTCTTCAGAATATGAAAATGGCTCAAGGAGGATAGAAGGGTTGGAGAGGGCATGACGTCAGCCGCGTAGCCTACACAAGCCATGCTCCCCTGACGCCTCGCCTTTTTCTCATTTTCCTCCTTACCCTTCTCACTTATCAGGCCAACGTGACCACATCACGTGACCGTACCTAGCCTTCGTCTAACCTTCGATCTGATAAAACCTACCGGACGGAGCGCGTGCAAGTCTGCAGGGAATCCTTCTACAATTAACCCTCCGTCTCGCACGTGACATGTCACGCGCACCAATTGCCAGAGAGATCTGCGGTCACGTTGGCCGCAACATCGTTTAAAATTTTTATGACTAGGCTTCACCAACATTGCAACGTGTCCCCTCCTAGTACTTACAACCTCCCTGAAATGGCGGCATTGTTTTGTACCGTCGAGACCATCGAGACAGACGCAAAAGGGCAATATTCGCGTTTGATACCCTTGTTGCAGTTTCAGGAAGGCCTAGCAAGAGACCGTTATAGTCATTCCTTACCTTCATAAAATATTCCCCACTCTAAAGAAAGGCAAAACTGGCAGATGTATCAATTAGAGGGTGGTATATGCTTGGTCGTTGCGGTCGACAGCGGAAGATTGTGGATGTCACCCCGACTTCCATCACGTTACGATTGTCGGAACGGGTGGGGATCAGATGAGCAAAGAAATTTTAGAAGTGGACATAATAAAAAAAAAAAAAAAGGAGGGACCGAGCATTGGGTAAGCCAAACTTTGGTCCATTTGCATAGCAGGGAGATTAGTTATCTGGACACATGCTGATCGGTCATGATGCTCTTGTTTTTTTTTTTTTTTTTTTCCTTTGTTTTTTATTAATACTTTAGTTGAGAGTCGGCGCTTGTCGAGTGTACACCCTTCTACCTCGACTTCGTTTTTTTGTGCGCTGTGTTGATTTTACTTCCCAAGCACGGCTAATAAGCAGTTCGGGGCCGTAAAGAGAATGACTCCAACAACAGAAAACTGTCACGTGGGTATTAGAAATCACTTGGAGAGCGCCTTTCACAAAAAAAGAAAACAACTTCCTCCAGCAGGTAGAGGTGAAGTACCGAAGCAGAGCGGTAATTCTATCTGCAGGTGTGCAAACTCAACCTGACGTGTCACCTTGCGTCAGCGGAGAAGAGCTGCTACGACAAGAGGAGAGACTCGTGGTACGGCTTCGTTGACGAGCAGACCATTGCCTCGAAGGTAGGTCACGCGATGCTAGCGGCAAATACGCTCACTACAAGTAAAGGCCCATGTTTCTTATGGTGCAGTGAGGATGCTAAAAGCACATCGGCAAAGCGCGAAGGTGGTGCGAAAAACGCGGATGATGTCTTATCATCAGCGTTTTCGATCCGCCAGCCTTGCGCCTGTTGCACCAGTGCTAACTTTAGCACACCCCCGCTATTCCTACATGCTTCGAGTTTTTCCGAAATGTACTGGATTAGTATTTTTAGATGACGCTCATCAAGTTTCTAATTGAAACCATATGTTTATTCTCACAATCTAAAAAGCTAATTACCCCTTTGACTGTCGTCACCGTACATGTACGGCGGCGATTATACAATTTAAAAGCACAGGGTCAGGTAAAATATAAAAAAAAAAAAGATTTTCGTTGTTTATGTTTTTTTGCAACTTTAAAAGTTTATTTTTTTCTTCACATTTTTCATTGTCACACTTTTGCACGGCTTTTGCGCGTCCTTGCCGCTGCAAAAACCGTGCGCTCACTACCAAGTTCCCCGAGAAATGCTATGTGCTACCAGACCCTCGTGCTCCGAATCTGCGACCGGGCACTCTGTGGCTCCGTCGTCGAACTGCCAGGCTTAGACGTTCCATGCACGTGCGAGATGGTCGCTTCGATTGTAGGGTGCTCTGACAGTAGCGGCCATCGGAACGCTCGCTCTTCCAATTCACTTTTAACGTGTCTTAGAATTGCATTCAGATGACGAGCGCTCATCACACAATAGAGAAGCTTTGTAAACTACTTCCGGTTCAGAGACTGAGACCACAAACCGTCGCGGAAGCGGACGCGCGAAATACGTCGAAAGACACATAAGCACTTCTTATGAGTTGTGAATGCGAAAGCATGAATGTCCGACGATGTGGATGCTAGAGGCGGCGCCATGTTCGTCGGCGGCGAGACGAGCAGAAGCACCGCCGACGATGTGGATGATGGAGGCGACGGCATGTTGGTTGGCAGCAATATGAGCAGAAGCCTCCGAGCGCGCGCCAGCGTGTCCCTTTGAACCGGTGCGGGGCTCGTAGTGGCATGGGGTTGCGGTGGTTAGTTTTATCGGCGCGCTGGCGGCGCGGACACGCAGCGCCATCTGGCGGCGGTCGTTGAAATTGACGCGCGCAGCGGCCAATGGGAGCCTCGTCGCCGTGTGCCAGCCAATGGGATCATGGAGCGAACCGACGTCATCAGTCTGAAGCGCGAAAACGGCACCTAGTTTCTCTGATCCCAAAAGAGAGAAGCGTTGTGAGGTTGGGGAAAAAGGGAGGGCCAATACACTATTGGCCCACCCTTTCCACCCCAACCTCTCTCACAACGCTTCTCTCTCTCTCTCTTGGGGTCAGAGAAACTAGGTGTCGTTTTCGCGCTTCAAACTGATGACGTCGGCTCGCTCCATGGGACAGTTAACGCTTTCGCATTAATAAAACCAAGTGGAAGAAAGGCGACACCTTACCCTCAATATGTTCATTTGAGGCTTCAATACCTCAAACAGGTTGAACGTACTGTACGTGCTCCCGTTAGATAACTAATCTGTGCATTAACTTTTTTTTTTGTTTTACTATCCCTTTGAAAACAAAACCTGACCACTAAAAACATCTTTTTGAGAAAACAAAAACTAGACCGCCAAAAGGTTAACCAAGTTCAGTTAACTGCCCAGCTTATTGTGAGGATTAGCCTCTCTATAATATGTCCCTATGGCCTATAACTAAACCGCACAGACCGAATTAGTGTAGCTTTCACTTTTTATATTTTAAGAATATTTTTACACTGATTGGTTGTACTTTCGGGTTTCAACCGAAAAGCACCGATAGACATCCGCCGGTGTTTTTGCTCTAAGCGTGGGCTTTCGGATAGAGCCCCCACTTGGCACCCTGCACGAGAAGCAGAAGACGCTCTTGCTCACTCTGATTGGAGGGAGACAGCGGGTAAAGACCAAGGCAGCTAATCTTTGCGTCTACCGGCTAATCCTTCCAATCAGAACTCGGCGCTCTGTCTGACGTCACTGCACGCTCTCATCTCCCACTCGCCTTCAGTGTCTCACCGTATTTCACACTCGACGTGTGCAACACTCTAGGTAACTAACTGGACATGGCGGATCACGCAGGTCACGTGGCTGCTCAAGAACGGCTGGGAGCACCTGTGCGTGGTGGCGTGGAACGTGGACGCAGACGACACGAGCGGCAGCTGCCGGTCAACGGCTGGACCCTATCCCTTGCTGCGCAGTGTCAGCGGGGCCCTCATGCAGATGGCCTACTGACCAGCGTATCACTAATGTGTTTCTTTCGTGTTGTATTAAACAGCGACCATATAATCCCCTGCCATTTTGTTTTCTTTTTGCAGCTGCAGTCGTCTCGATATCGAGCGAGTACTAAGCGCCCCTGGCTCGCGCTAAACCTTAACGATGCCACGTGTCCGCTTTGGCGAGTACATGGTTGGGTTGTCATTTAATTACATCCACGGTTGTGCGAATTTTCGAATAGTAGATTCGAATATTACGCTATTCGATATTCGCTTCGTGATGAACTACTGCGATATTTGTATTTTTCGAAGTGCTGATCACGGCAGGTTAGCCTCGTTGAGCGCGCTGCTTACCAAGCACTGGTGCACTGCGGGAAGGCAAGAACCACGGAGCCCGCTTAGGAGTGTGCGGCTTCTCCGCAGTGTACCTGTATTTGTTGAGAAGCGCACTCAATGGCTCATTTCCAAAGCGGGATAGTGCACGCACGCGCCTGGTGTATTTAAAAGGAAACAAACTTCATGAATGTTAATATCTACATTGGAGCTTTTTTCAAAATTAAACTGCCATGCAAAATTAATTGTTACGAAGAGATGCCTGACAACCTGTGTTAATCACATATGATTAAAAAGAAAACAAAATGGGGTGTGCGTTTGTTTATACAGCCTGAACTTAGTCTGCCTCAACGGGCGACTTGAATCTCAGCTGTAAATAAGCAATTTAGCCAGTGCAGTACAACCGCTAGCCTGGAGTCTTGAACGTGCACCACGCAGTAGCGATACAGAACCGCACGCCGGTACGATGCTCATTCAGATCGAAGCCGGCAGGGGCGGGGATTAAACCCAGGATCTCTGGGTTCTGCAGTACGCTATACTCTGTTTCACCTTATGATGTACCGCATGAAAGGCTACAAGCGCGAGCTCCTTGCTCTGGGGCACATCTTGGCGGCACAAGCTCTCGTGATTTAGGAGCAGCTGCCAACCCTATGAGCTGGCGCTTGTAGCCTTCGCTGCGGTACAACATAAGGTGAAACGAAGTATAGCCCACTCGGCCACCGATCCCCCTGATTGAAGAGAAGATATTTGCATACAGTAGGATTAAGCATAAATCCCCTTAATTAGGTATAGTTATCCCGATGTAGGTATTGAACCTTTCGGAAGCCACATTAAAATTAACTTACCATTTAAATGGACAAGCGGAAGCGCGGCAACAACCTTCACAAGTTCAGCAGAAGTGAAAGGCTTAGAGAAACGATTCCGATATTCAATTCCAAAATATTCGGCCGAACCCAATATTCGCTTCTAACTCAAAATCCATTGTTCTCACATTACGCCTAATTACAACATTTAAAATACTGTAATAGCTTTTACCCTGAAATTACTTCAACATGAAGTACCGCAAAGTCCCAAAAGAACGCCCACCCAAAATGAAAAAAAAAAAAGTATAAAAATATGGGGTGGGCGATGGTCTGGCGTGCAACCGCAAAATTTTATCAAACATTCGTGATAAGTACAGGGAAGGGAGAGGGGGGTACAAATTAGGTGAAACGGGAACTGATACCACAGATCGTGGACACAGCAAATTCGCGTTCCACGGTGCGATAAGTACGCGGGTACTCTTGGCGACTAGCGGCGAACGCCCGGGGGTTCCAACTCCGGTCACAAATGCAAGGGGAACGTGAGAAAATCGCTGTTTTTTTATTACCTCGGGGATGTACGGAACGACAACAGTTTTTGACACAATAAAGGAACAGTTTACAATAAGTTGCGCTAAATTGTGTGCCATGTAATAACGCTTTTTTTTTTTTTTTTTTAATTGCCTGAGCGGCATTATGTTGCAGACGACGCAGCGACGTCACACCATTCAAGTGACCCGCTCCGGCCAATCCATAAAGTCCATCTTTGCTGCGTAAAACAATCGTCTGCTTCAAACGCCAATGCCTTGGAAATTGCGTTCTCAAAATTTTCACACGCATCCAATATTAGGGTGACCGCCCGTCCCGCGACTCGCGCGACTGTCCCGCATTGAAGGCTCGTGTCCCGGTCCAGCGAGAAATTCTAAAATCTTCAAAATGTCCCGCATTTTACACTGCCCTGAAATTCCCTCTGCAACTCATGGTGCTGCCCAACAACGGGGCACGGGGAAGCGCGGTCACTGGTAATCGTGTGAAACGCAATGGTACGCCATTTTCTATCCAAGCATTGCGGAAAGCGACCGTCGTTCTTGCAGGGGCTCCGACGCACATACGCCGTTGTGCCTCTCCCCTTAGTGGCCAAATATTATAAGAGAAAATTGCTCATTTATTGCCACTATTTTCATATCGCTGTTTTAACGCGAAAGGATTGCTGTGGATTTTTTTTTTTTAGCGAAGACAGTTACACAAGGCAAAAAGAAAAAACATAATGTTAAAAAATTTTGTAAGACCATGTTAATAAAAGTAAGCGTTTACAGGAAACAATAACCCGAAAAACATTTGATGCATTGATTGCTGCTGGAGTTGATTTTTATGCTATGAACTTCGACATTTAATAACATATTTGGTATAAAAATATATCACTGGGAGTGGAAAACTATTTTAGCTTAATTGCTGCACTACAATTTGCGGGTGTATAAACAGCACAGGATATTAAATGTGTTAACAGAGCCTTGGTCGTGGTGTGCGTGTTCATAAATTTCCTCCACCTCCTCCTCCTTTGGTGCGTTTTTTGGCAGTCGTGTCCAGGTGATCTCACATGACGTCACCATGTGAATACCGCGATAACGTCACAGAGTTTACGCGACATCAGCGTGACGTGATATCAGGTGAGACCACGACGCCACAAAGATAAAGGCAGTTTTTGTTAGTCAAGACTACCATAGCAATCCACTAGATTGGCCAAAAAAGATTAGCAACTCAAGACTTGATTTGTTGTAAAAGCGTGGGTACCCAAACTTCAAGAAAACAAATAGGACAGAACACCAACTTCTTCACTGCCCCGAGCACTTTATTGAAACTCAAATGTTTAAAAAAAATAGTGTTATCGCCTGCGCAATCCAACAGATAATGATCTGCTGCATTTCCCACACCGCTCACGTCGCATGAAATTCCCCTTAAAAAAAAAGGAAAAAGGGAGACACCGAAGAGTTGAAGGCCTCTGAAGAAGACAACCCGAAACACGTCAAGCTTGTGTAACGTTTGTGGTGCCGGTGACATTTCCGTGCCAGCATATGGCGGACACAAGAAACAAGGTCGGAGGTCCCGGGAATGTTGTAACTCGTATCCTTTACCATAGCAATCTGACGCATAATGTCGTCAAACGTCAGGTGGGCAAAGCGTTAAACAATGTCCGTGCATTGGGGACCTGCAAATCCCGAACAACGGTTAGCACTTGGCAATTGCAGTTTGCACCACAGTGCTTTCCCACTTCACCCGTGTTTCGACAGAGCCCTCTGGCTTTTGGACATATGCAAAACAAACTACAAGCGAGGTTCCCAATCGGCCTCGAAGCAACGCAACGGCTCGCTTGGCGTCGACAACTTCTTTAGCGAGGTGCGCTGAAACACGGGCCTATTTCCCAGACTACCGGATAGGATGCGGAAATGAAAAGCATACAGGACAGATTTCAAAGTGGGTAGGCATTCTATACCTGTACATCCTTTTCCGATATAATTCTGAGACCAAATCGATTGCAAGAATGCATTTAATACTCACAAAGGCATATGAAGATAGCGGAGCTGTAGTCCATATAAATCTATGATCTGTCATATCATAGGTGCGAGTGATGAAGGAGCTACAAGAATGAGCTTTGCGCTTGGGGCATCGATGTTTGCATGGCACAAACTTGTTTGAGGCAATGTGATCAGACTTGTAGCACCGCCCTCCCTCCTTGTTAGGGCTGGTTCACACATACATCGCAGCATTAAATCAATACCAGGAACAGCACTGATGCAGAGCTGACTCGAATTTAATTTAGTACTGATGAAGCACTGTATCATTACTGCTATAGTGCAAAGTCAGCGCTGCACCAGCATTATTAGCACTATTTCCAGTACTGACTAATAGTGCTGGGGTAGTGCTGTGGTGCAAGTGTGAACAGGCCTTTAGGGTTAAGCAGGGCTTCATCGGGGGTCTTTACGGTGGGAGCAAGACCACAGTACACTGCCGAGCATACACGAGCATTGCTGCATCTCGCAGGTAAAACAATAACTTATGACACAACTTGTTCGATGCTCCCCAACTTCGGTACAGTCATCATCCTTCATACTCGCTTGTTTTCAGAAGTACAAAAGGAAACACTATTATTTGAAGAAGTAACAGAAAAGAAAGTTTTTCCTGCTGTTAGGTAAAAAAAAAGTGCAATCCACGCTCGGGCATCGTTTGTGTATGCCATCGAGACTCCGCTCCAATCAAAATCAAGCAGCAAAGGGACGAGAACATCGAGGCTCCCATATCCTGAATGCTTTCATAAATTCCTTTAAAAAAATCCATTAATGCATATTATGGTTCATACCATAACCTTTCTTTTCTTTCCAAATTGCTGCGTTTTGAATACAGCCCCACCAACCTATGGGGGAGTGACTTGTTTGAGACGAGCCTCGGCCACTCAAAAGCAACGCGTGCCTTCGTTCCAGTAACCGCAGTGTGACGTACACGTATTGAACAAATCACTATCTGTAGAGTCACATCATAAGAGTGTACGCGTTTCGTCCGACGCGTGCGAAGTAAGCCTCGGAAAAAACCTCGAATTCAACGCGACAGATGCCCACCATAATCGACGACGATTTAAGAAACCAGCAGATGCATCGCCTCGAACGTGAGCCTTCTAGCTTTGATAAAATTTTGCTGGATGGGCAGCCAAAGCACCATAGAAGGCAACGAGCGCTTGTAGGAGGCGAAGCATACACTGGGTTCTTGACGTGTCGCCGATTATAAGATCCAAACACTAGCCCTGATACAGCCGACGAATTCAAACAACGCTCTCTACGACCACTGCTCGTCCGGCACGACATAATTTAACCTCCTCCAACCACCCAACGAAATAGAACGAAATGAAATGTCACATGGCGTGTAGCCCACCCGACGACGTGCGATTCAACGAACCACCGCAACACGGAACTATAGCACACAGCGGCCGCCTCGACGGAAACTGCATTTGCGTGAACCGCAGCGGCGCAGACTGCGGTTGCGGAAACCGCAACGACGCAGACTGCAGAGGCCGGGAAAGAAAACGTGGTTTAGGGTTGACCCCGGCGTTCTCCGGAGTTCGGCGAAAGAGAGAGTTCGGGAGAGGGGTCGCGACCGGCCAGAGCTACGCTCGCCGGCGTGCGTTGCCGTAGAGATGCCGTCACCCTCCGTCCTCCTCCCTGCGCAGATTAATCCCTGGAAGTCAGGCCTGTCCCTCGGGTGTGAGTTTGGTTGGGGTCGACGGGTCCAGCCCCATCGTAGTGCAGACCCAGCCTGCAAAGTCCACTTTCTCCTGGTCCCACCTCCGCACGTACGGGTGGTTCTGCAACGGGAGACAGAAGTGCCGTGTGACGTCGAGGGGTAGAGTCGGCATGTCAAAGTTTAATTTGAGGATTGCAGCGCATGGTGGAGGTGTTCAAGCTCAATCTAAGACGGACATTTTTTGGTTAGTAGGTTAGCTGTGGCCAAACTGAAAATGCCAGTGCTCTGTGGCGGATGAGAAGAAAAACAGTTGTGCTACGCAAGGAGCTTCCCTCACGGAAGTGAGAGCAATGTTACTCCTTTCCTCACGCAGAAAGTATGTACAGTCGCCGACCGATTTTTCGGACACCGCTATTTCAGACGTGTTCAATCATTCGGACGTCTTCGCTGAACCGTCACTTACCCCATAGAGCAGGGGTCTCAAACACGCGGCCCGCGGGCAACCGGCTACGAGTTCCCGTTCCCATGTCTTGAGCACCAGAAATAGCATGCGCCATACTGAACTAATTGAGTCGATTCATGTTAGCTCGAAAAGTAGCTCTGCTCTTTTAACATACTCACTTATTTCATACCTATCTGTGTTCATTTGCGCTTTGTTTCGCGTTAGTTTTTGCGTCCCGTATTTTTTTTAATGCACAATGATTCTGCCACTATAGCTGTAAGCACAAGCTATTCGTTGAAGGGTGCATCTCAGGTATGCAAACTCTCAATCAGCAGGAGCACCTGCCAAACATAGAGCTACAAAATCAAAATTTGCATCTTCAAAAAAAAAAAAAAAAAAACCATTAAATTGCAAATATTTGTTCAGAGTGTTGTAATAAAATTCGGCCGGAAAGCAACAACTGTCAAATTAAATGATTGCTACTCAGAGACATGTTGAGCTTGGTTAATTTCCGCGTGAATTGAGCAACGGGAAAGACTGTTTACTTGCTCTCTTGTTCCATTGAAAATGACAGCATGTTGGTGGTGCAGTGCATTTTAATTCTTGTTATCTCATCAGGTCAGAGCCCAAAGAAGTACTATAAACAAATCAAATCTAAAGATGTCACTGGCAAAACTGTGAGTTCAGAAAAAGCATAAAGCATGTGATCCTTTCTCTTCAATACCTTTTGACCCCCCCCCCCCCCCGGCTTATGTTGGCCCTCAACCTTTCTGGTGTGGGGTGTTTGGCCCCCACACTCAAATGAGTTGAAGATCAGCCGTCTGTCGTTCATGTGCTGTTTGAGTGAGTGTTTGAGTTGAGTTTTCTGTCCAATGGTGTTGAAGTAAGCTGGATGGGCTAAACATTGTCTCCAAACAGTGTCACATGGCACCGACTTCATATTTGCCGTGTGCACCAGCGAAGGTGCCAACAAAGCATGATCAACCACATTAACAAACACGTGAAAAGTGACAAACATACAGCCGAAGTTGCCTGGAGAATTTAATATTGACATCAAACAAGTGGCCAGTACAAAGCGAAGTGGCGCGGAAATTCGATATTGCGGCTGAAATCGTTTTTTCGGACTGCTTGATTATTAGGAAAATTTGGGATCCCCTACGAGTCCGAAAGATCAGTTGGCGACTGTACTGACGAAAAAAAAATCATCCCTTACAGTATCTGGACAAATATGGTATGTAGTTCTCCATAGCCATAAAAGTCTACAAGAAATAAACTGTTGAGTGAGAGCTGCTTCTTGTCTCATCAATAGCTTTCCTCACAGTGTCACAAGCAGCTACGTTTTCCCAAATCACATGTCTTTGTCGCCGCAGCGTCCTAAGAAAAGCATCAACAATGTATGTGAGGTTAAAAGCGCTAAAAACAACGGACAAGTAAAAGAAACGTACACCACAACAACTTGTCCGTTGTTTTTAGCGCTTTTAACCTCACATACATGGATCACCAACTAGCCCAAGTGCATACGCTTCTACAGTGCATCAACAATGGTCTACCGCAATCAGGATCTTGGGTACAAAACGTGCCAAGGACACACGGAAGTAAATGACAGCTTCAAAGAAAAAATCGTAAGGGTGCAGGCAAGCTGGTGAATATTAACCATGTTGAATTAATCTGAGACTGGGGTAGAGAAGAAACATCAGAACGTAGAAGGGACAGAAAATAGACAGGACAATATCTCAACGTCGCCCTGTCTATTTTCTGTCCCTTCTACGTTCTGATGTTCCTTCTCTACCCCAGTCTCAGGTTAATTCAACATGGACAGCTTGAAGAACAGAGCCAAGTGATGTCTCATTGTAAGTAGAAGACACACTCACCATGAGCGTCTTCAAGTCCCCCCTCTCATTTGGATTTCTCTTGAGGCTGAAATGCGGGAGGCACAACTCATGACACGGCAGCATTCCATCCGAGAGACATTCAAGCCAGCCAGACACTAGCACGCACCAAATGAGGCGCTTTGAATGACACCGGTGCACAAGTGCCTTTCAACCCCATGTCACACGAAAGGAAAAAGCCTCGTTTCTTATCAAACACCTTAATTAGGTCGACCAACATCTTGAGAACCTTGATACCGTTACCTATGTTTCCAGTATATCAGCACCTTTTTAAAAGACTATGGTTAATAAAGTTTTTTTTAGACAAGCAAGAAAACAAGAAAGAAAGCAAACGAAAATCTTATTAACTACTCGGTATTTCGTTTCTAAAAAATAGGGTGTTCTAAGTTACCAGGCTCCATCTAAAATGGACCATAAAAATCAACACCTGCACGTAGCAATCCAAACTTTTCGTAAACGCTTATTTCACAGATCGGCTTTTCTTGTAAAATTATAAAGCATAGCTCTCTCTGTAAAAAAATAGGGCCAAGAAACTTGGCAGGCTCAACGGCGGACGGCGATGCAGACGACCAAGTCGAGTTGCGGGGTGTGTTTGGCACGCGTATTGATAGATGGCATCTGGAGCAGTTTCCGAAGGTGTCGTCGACCAGCGAAAGAAAGCAGACGACACGCAGACGAAATCCATTGGCAGCGAAAGCACAGTCGTTGTACAAACACATTTTTTTTTTTTTTTTATGTTTTGCTTTTAATGCTTGCATTTATTTTTTAACCAAAGGCACATTACAAAGATATTATGTTAATTTGAATAAACCATGGTGGTCACGAGCAGTCTCGTTAAGGAGGCAGCGCCATCTACCAATACGAGCGCCAAACCCGCCCCCCCGCTACTCGAGTTGATCGTCTGCGTCGCCGGCCACCGTTGACCCTGGCAAGTTTCTTGGCCCCATTTTTTTACAGAAAGAAAGCTACGCTTTGTAATGTCACAAAAAAAAAAAAAACCTGTGAAATACACCTTTGACGAAAAGCTTCGATTGCTACGTTACAGGCGTCGATTGTTACAATCCATTTGAGATCAAGCCTGGTGACTTGGGACACCCTATATTGTGAAAAGGAGCAAAGGCAATATGAATTCCGACAGTGGTCACAATAGAAAGAAACAAGCTTGACCATGCTGACAAAGACTGGTAAGCACAAAATGTGTGAGAGGAATTCCAGGGAAGAGAAGGGGGTGTGAACGGCACCACCTACCAAAGATTAGCTCTCATTCCCGACACACGCCGTAAGAGTCAAGCGAGACGGTGGCTTATTTAAGTTTTATGCAAATACAAAACGTTTAAAAACGAAGCGCACGACTGTGCTTTCGCACCAAAGAGTATATTTTTGCATGTGTGAAACACGAACCCTGGATAGCTCGGTCGGCAAAGAACTTGTCTGTCAAACTCAAGGTGGAGAGTTCAAATCCTACAGGGACTGAAGTCTTTTTATATGGTTCTTTATGAACATAAGGCTTTTTGGCATCGGTTTTTCATTACAGCCGGCTCTTACACCAGGCCCTTCTATACTTCGTTTCACCTTATGTGCGAGCGAAGGCAAAGCTGGAAGCGCGAGCACGGAAGCTCCGTGCGTTCAGGCTTTGCTCGAGCGCGCAAGCTGGGGAGAAACGCACAAAGCGCTGGTCTCACGATTCTAGCTTTGGCTTCGCTCGCAGATAAATTGAAACGAAGTATAGTAAAATGTTACGGAATTCCATTCTTTAAACCAGTGTGTCGAACCGAAAAAAATACGGGTTCGGTTACGGTTCAGGTTCAGGTAAATTTATTTTGTTCTGGTTCAGTTCCGGTTCGATTATTTCGATCCGCGAACCGGTTCGCAAACTGGTTCGGGGCGCTGAACCGGTTCGCGAACCGGTTCGGAAATTATAAATGACAAATTGCAACATCAAAATAACATCAAAATAACATCAAAATAAAAAAAATAAAAATTGCAACATAACGTTCTAGAAACGTGTTATGAAATGAGCACACAGCAGCATTTAGGATTTACGAGATTGCAGGTAAATAAAATCCCGTGACGCGATTTTTTTTTTTTTTTGCACAGCTTTCTAATTCTTTTTTTTCCGTGCAAGCCGCGATCAGCGCAATGCTGGTTCCTATGTCAAGATTCATGGATGCAGCGTTTGTCCAGATTCATGGATGCAGCGTTTATATTCCTAAGACTGAGTGGAGAAGAAAAATATGTAAGCGAGGTGTGTGTCAGTTGACGGCACTTAAAAAACAAATGGCATTGATAGCACATTCATTGTCAACAGCGCGTGGCCGAACCATTTTGACATGAGCCGGTAACCGTTATTTTTTTTTTCCGGTTCAGTTCCGGTTCGGGTTCATCGCAATAACAATATAACGGTTCGGGTTCGGGTTCAGTTCCGGAAAAAATACCGGTTCGGTTCCGGTTTTCGGTTCGGTTCGGTTCCGGTTCGACACCCTGCTTTAAACATTCTTTAAAATAACACTGTCTTTATGGGGCTATGCAACTGGAAAAACCTCTGTGATCAAATGAGGAAACATGTACAGATAAATGCCGGTCATCTTAGTAATGCTTCTCATCCTCCAAGTTTCAGCCACAATCAAGAGCTCGCTGCACGTCAACAGTATGTTTTTCCTCGGTCTCGAGGTTACGTTGAACATGAATAACCTTAAAGGGATGCTGAACCAAAATATGGATTCCACAGAATGCGGTGGCAGAAGTGTGCAGCGGGCCGCCACAAACACCAAAACATCACTCATACAGCGAAATCTGAAACGGATGACCATATTTTTCTAAAAAAAAAGGAGGCGCATTTGACAGATATGGTGACGTCATGTTTCTCAGAGAAGAGTCGAGAAGGAGAGGAAACGGCCTCACGTCTTCTCTGCTTCGCCGCCCTGAGGTAGCGAAGCGAGGAGAGGAGGGAACGAAAAACGTTGACGTCATGCGTGACTCTTTGGCCTCATTCAATCTCGACCTCTTTTTCCAAAAATACGGCCGTCCATTCGAGATATTGTTTTAGGAGTGGTGGTGTAGGGATCGTAGCGTCCCGCCTACCGCTCCTGAATTGTTTTCTGAAATCCAAATTTCAGCTCACCATCCCTTTAACCACCTTGCCGGTAATCTTGAGTTCGCTCGAGATTAATCCTAGGGTAATCTCGAAAAATGTGCTTTACTTTTCCAGCCCACCCGCACTGCATGCAGGGCGCCGTTTGAAATTAACAGATACTCACCATCGGTCCACCAAGTCCTTGAATTCCGGTGAGAAGACACCGGTGGGCACTGACGGTGGCGCCTTGTAAAAAAAAAACACAGAAAAGAGGATGAGAAGTAAAAAAATTGGGCAGTTCCTCGCTAATCCGCAGTAGAGTCAGAGCAATAGCTGCAACATGTCATGACGAAGTTGTTGGGTATCGGCGTCATGTTCACAAAACGTCAGGTGCGTGCACGAAAGCATTTGGAACATAATAAACATCTGCTTTGTTCCGAACACTTTCATTCTGTTCCATCTAGTTCCAAATGCTTCTGTTCTATTTTTTGTGCCGGAGCACGTGAAAGCGCATCTCCCGGCACGAGGTCGTGGCATTGATAGTGCTACAATGGCATTTTGCTAAAGGCTACTTCTTTTTTTTTTTTCCAAGAGAGCACATGCAGTGGGCGTCCGGTATCACAAAAACCCCAAGTATAAAGCAGGTTGTTAACACTGTAGCGTAGCTTTCCGCTTTACACACGGCAGACCCAGGTTCAATTCTCGCAGGTGGAGGGCAATCTTTTTGAAAGATGTGGAAACATCGACGATGGACACCCTATGCCCTACTATGCCGACTACAACCTCAACTACATCAACAACGGACAACATTTCCAGTAGTGGCGAGAAGCTATAACAGCTATCGCTGTAAAACAAGTTGTTCGATCCTACGAGATTGTTGTCCGTAGGGGGGGGGGGTGGGGATCGGTGGCCGGGTGTGTAAAGGGGCTTAAAAGTTAATTTCTTAATTACTAGTATGATTCAAATAAAATTTCCAGGGGACTTCGAGGTTTCAGATAAGGGAGTAGTGTGCAAACTTTGACCTCTCTAGGGCAATTTTTTTAGAAGCTAGACATTCATGTATGAAGCTGCGACGCCTTTCCCTAAGGAATCTATGTTAAACAAATTAAGCCAAGAAACCACAATGTTATTGTTTGGATACGAATTAGAGAGTGTAGGACTTCAAGTTACCTAGTTTATATTAGTAAAATGTAAATATTCATAAAAGAAAAACTACCCCCCTAAATGAGGAGCATTTTTTTTGTATAGCGATTTGTCAATGCATCACTTTTTCTTCACTATGACTTTAACCTAATGCCAAATAAAGTGGATAGCCCAATTCCCAAATAAATTTCAGCTCATAAACCTCTGGAACAAGCATAGGAATACTTTTACCGTCCAGCAAGATTCCTCGTACGAAGTTTGTAGCAAAAAAGCGAAATTGAGTAAAAGAAATTCAGACATTGAGACCCTTCACTTTATTCATTTCGCACAATCTGCATCCTCTAAAAGACCCCAGCAAAGTAGGTTTGTCCTTCAGCTGCCAGGTACTTTAGTCTGTTGAGGATTACCTGCAGCATCCTCTGTTTCTGGACAACTTTGAAGACTATGCCATGTGCCTTCTGCTATGTTGCTAAAGCGGCTATGTGCCTTCTGCTTTGCTTTTGAGACCTTGGATTGCACATACTTGTCAAAGTGTTGCGTCTGGTGACCCCGGCCCTACTCCCATCTCGAAAAGATTCCCCTCAAAGCCCTTAAGGCTCAAGTTGAACTCGAGCACTGTGATAGCAAGTTTGTTTCACGGCACTCGTGCCCACGCGTTCCCCCTCGCAGCGTGCAGCGGGTTCGTTTTGGCCGGCACTCCACGAGTGGTTGCACTCTCCGAGTTCGTCTCATCGCTGACACCCCACGCGTGCATGCACTCGTTGCACCAAAAAAAATCGAGAGTGCACCAAAATGCAATCCCGTCATGCCTCGCTCCAGCGAGGCCGGCGAGGAGCGGGAGCAGACGACGAAAGTTTGTCTGCTACGATGTGTCGCGGAACCAAAAGGAAAAAAGGTACTCTGATAGAAATCGCGTCCCGCAGGCAACGGAATCAAACATGAGCTTGAATTGTGAGCGTCCGCTATTTCATGACGAACCATGCTTTATTTGGAGGTTTTAACTCGGTCTGTTGCCGCACAGACGCTGAAATATACCAGAGTGTAAAGAAATGCTCAGAACAAATGCATCAGCGGCCCCCGAGATGTTTATCACCATCCTTGTGCGGGTGAGAAATTGAACATTTGTCGACAAAACTCCCCTAGCAGAAACCTCTGACTGCCCAATAAGCATCAGAGAAAGCTAAACATAGTGACTTTACCCGAGGCTTGGGCAACATCATCATGTTTAACATTTACCTACGTCAGCTAACTTGACCCGTCGTATTTTGTTTGAGAAAGCTCTTGTTCTCGACGCCCTCACCAAGGCTAATATCTGATCCACCTGTAATGACGATCGAAATCGAAAATCCCACGAAACGTTTTGCTGTATATTCCAACAGACTAGTTTTAAGCCGTACCCTTTCAGTGGTTCACGCATAATACCATGCTCAAACGGATCAAGCTTCTGCTCGGACAGCATCATAAGTTTTCTTCAGTGTAAACGGTCATAAAAATTGAAAGATCGCAACCAGCCAGCTGCTTTGTAGACAGCTGGTTGCGGAAATTTATGCCGAGTTGATTGAAGTCATCGCAACTATTAACTACAGGTTACAGCGACCAACGTCTGTAGATAAACGTTGGTAGCGACTGAACTCTCGCGTTCCCACCCATCACTCCAAACAGAAAGGCGCTAGTTTCGGTTTGAGGTCGGTACCTTTTCTACAACATAGATGGCGAAAGCATCCGTCTTCTGCACTCCATGCATTTGCCGAGTTCGCTTCAGTCCAGTTCTTCGTGCAACACTCTGCGAGTGCGATGCATTCTAAGACAGAACTCGAACGGTGCCAGTGCGTGTGAAATGAACTCGCTATGAGTAGAACAGTCGTTTCTACCGTTCTTCGAGACACAAAATCCGTCTTCAAACACTACCTCTAGTCCAGAGCATCGAATGACTCGTTAGTGAGTCTTTATTTTGGCATATCTCTCGAGAAGGTCATGCTAGGGCAAATGGTTGTACAGAGGAACGAACTCCTTTGCAATTTCCCTCGAGCAGGCAAGGCTGTGCAGCTGTGGCTTTCCCATTGCACCACAAATCTTTTCCTTGAAGGCAGGCCTGATGCTGTGGCTCTTCATCAGTAGAGTAAGAGTACAGGAGGCTGCCAAACACGCCTTTCTGCATCGCCTGAACTTTTGGCGCACTCACCTTCAATGCACATGCATTATAGTTTGTCAACTTTTTCATGACATGGGTCAACTCGCATTGCCCACCAAGCCCTTCTTTTTTTTCTTGAGGGTCTCCGATCAAGAGTTCATCCATACATCGAGCACGGCGAGGTTGGTATTTGAAAACAGTCAATAATTGTTGGTTGATGGCTCACCAAAATGGCTCCGGAATACGGCGTGCATTGCAGTCCCATTGAAAATATTTTATATCAATGTAAATATTAAGCATATGCTTTCTAAATTGTCTGGGCAGGTGCGTTAGTGGAATCTAAAATGTAAAATTCGAAAACGGCACTTTTATTGAAAAAGTTTGGACATTTAGGCCAGTGTCTTTTCTTACACACCACAGCTCTAAGCAAGATGGGTGAAAGCTCGCACAGCCGAGGGATCCTGTGTACACTCCCAACCCCTGCCCATTTTTATCTGGATAAGCATTATACCCGCGTGCGGTCATGTATCACTATTGCGCGATGCACATTAAAGGTCACGGACTAGCGGTTTCGCTACACTGGCACGACTTCTCGTCTACTGAAATACCCCTAGAGATAGCCCACCTAAAATCAATAGCAAATCAGACGAAAATAGGGGGTAATCTAACTTTAAAGAAGCAATAAAAAAAATTTTAAAAAGTTATTTTTAATCATGTTACCCTCGAAACTAGCAATCGCAGAAAGGGGCAATGAACCAAAGACAATTGCCATTCCCAGTCAGCAATGTTTGCTTATCTCCCACCGTGGTTAAGTAACACCGTTTTTGCAGAGTTCGCCACCGGCCAGGGCCCTGCAATAACTAAAAAAAAAAAGGCAAATCATGCCAAAAACAGGGGATGGGCTATCTCTAGGGATATCATAGTACAGCATGGACACCAGAGGCCCATTGGGGCTGACTAACTTCACACTGTCCAAGCATACACAATAACACAATCACCGCCGTTGTGCCACCATTGCACAACAACCACCCGAGCGATTCCCGTGGAACCCCGTCCCGTGTCTTCACGTTGAAGTCTCACGAAAGAATCTCTTTCTAAGTTGTATTATCTACCTCTTGGCTTTGTGGCCTGATTTAAGCCCTGGTTGTCACACGTGCGTCCAATACGTAACTTAAATAACATTAAAAAAAAAAGCCTCCAAGGAAACTCTGCGCATGACATAGAGTACACGTATTTAGCGCATAGTAATAGAAAATCGTGCCCAAGAATTATCCAATTAATTTGTTACTACGGAGTGGCATACTTGTCTATAAAAACAAACAGTCAAATCAACACCAGCATGTACGGAGATGCAGTCAGGTTTTCTTTTAGCGAAGTAGATGAGTGGGCTGCCACATTCTCCGTGACTTAAAGTTTATTTTTCTTCCGCTTCCCTATTCGCGCCTCCAACTTGTTGCTCGCCCTCCCACAGCGAAAGAGGGAAGCGCTCTAGTGGGGGTTGCCCAAATCTCCTGCGCAGCGGGCTTGGCGGAACTGGTCGTGATCATGGCTTGCGAACAGTCAGAGTCTGAATGCAAAAACACTCTTCACTAACCCGATGGAGTGCTACAGTCGGCATGTGACTTTACCTTACTAGCGAGTTTTAATATTGCGTATAGAAGCAAATGCAAGTGCATTTACTTTTGTATTAGAGTTGCGTGCTCCATGCTGCAGATGCGTGTCATTGCCATGAGCCAATCCAAGACCGCAATTTCGGGCTCCACGCACGCGCAATGGGCAACACGCAACGCTGACGCAAACACAATGTGCTTGCATTCGCTTGTATACGCTATGCTAAAACATGCTACTGTTTCACTGGTTTTTCAACGCCAACGAAAAGTACTGCAGTGAGCAGACCTGCACGCTGGTGGGCGCTCCTTTGAGCGGGAAAGGCCAAGATTGGCAAAACGGCGGCCCGTGAAACGTAATGAAAAGAAAAGTTCTGGGTAGTTTTGCAATTAAAAAAACCAAACGGAATCCTTTTTTTTTTTTCATATTGGCGGTGAGTTTGGAAGTTTTTCTGATTGTGAGAAGTCACAACTTTGACATTACCTCGTTTTACCCACAATTAATGTCAGTTTACGTGAATTTCTCAGACTAGCTAGAATGTTTAGACTATTTTTAATTTATAACTTGTTAATTAGGAATGCTGAAATTAGCACCAGTGATGATACGTAATTTGCCAACTTTGGATTGCCATAGTTGTTCTCACGTTTGAAATTGGATCATAAGAAACAAATTAGAGTTTGAAAAACTATGTATTCAAATATCTTAATTGCATTATTATTATTATACAAATTCCCATAATGTAGGCCTGAAAACACGCCACAATCACCAAAACACGCCATTTAACCATAATAGTTTTTACAAAAGGTCTCATTTTGATTTCTCTTTACACATAAAAAAAACTCTGATATTGTTATCGAGATAGACAAAAATACTAGATATAATATAAAGTCCTATGCGTCATGCGTTGCCTTAAAAAAGCACACTTCTGTTGTCTGACTCTGACTTTTTTATATGTTTTGTGAACATATTCTAAACTAATCACCCGTAACAATATTTTGTATAATTTGGATTAATTTCATTATTCTTGTGCTGGGAATAATGCTAAAGCAATTAATCATCTAAATGACCAAAAAACCGTTAAAGGGCCTGCAGGTCATTATTTTACATGACCTTTATTCCAGTAAAAAAAGGCCCCAAGAATACCCAAATAACAGTGCCGATTTTTTCAACAAATACAATATTCTGTTACCTCTAAGGTGTAAGGAAAAGCCTGTTATTAAAGGGACACTGAATTTTTCAAAATATTTTTCCTGGATCCGACATGCATGTCGCAACATAAAGTTTCAGTGAACAATTTCTTTAGCATAATAATTACGCTGTGAAGCACATCTCGAGGTAGGAGAGAAACCAAAATGAACACCTATATAGAGAAATTAAATCCAAAATAGAAGTTAGTTTCGGTTTCGATCCTAAATTAAAACGTGCCTCTCGGTAAAAATATTATGCTAAACACCGTTTTTGTTTTCAGAATAAAGAGGTGACCTATGCGCATAACACCCTAGCTTCCTCGTATAAGCGGGAATAATTTGTGTTGCTCAGTGAAGCCAGTAGACTAGACAGGGCTCAGCAAATGGTATACGAGCACGCATCTCCGACCCTCACTATAACCACCATCTTGGAAAGCGAGTGGCGCCACCTATAGACAGTTGGATTCGTGAATAATGTCTAGAGCTGTTGTTGCTATCGCAGTTTCTATCTAGTTCTTGTCTCGAAATTGTTTGTTACGAAGAACGTTCTGCCCCTGTCTCACTTTTGAGCTAAAAGTCTGTTTTTGCATTAACCACAGCTAGTAGCATTACTACCATATCTAGGAAAAAAGAAAACTTTGGACTCGGGTACTCACTTCGTTGACAATGTAGTCGAGGAGTTCGAAGATGGACATGGCCCGCGTACTGTCGCCAGAGGACATACCGGAGTTACCTGCAGAAACAGGCACATCTATCAGGGTAACAATGTAAATGAGTCAAGGTAGTTAAGGGGGGACACTAAAATAAAGCGAAATTCGAGAAAAGAAAAGTTTTATTAAGTTACTACGTTCAGTGCGCTCAGGTTCGGTGCAAATTAAAAACCAGTCAAAGAGTCGTTGCAGGTAACTTGGCATATCCTAACCTCTTTCAAGGTGTTAGGATATGCCAAAAATAAAATATGAGATAGCTATACTGCTAGGAACCACTGTATGTTCCATAGCCCTGCTAAATTAGTTTTGAAAATGGCACAATAGTTTCGTAATGCGGGTCTCAAATCCACCACGTTCGAAAATACTGCCTTGTTTGTTGGGTCGGTGACGTCACCCGCCCCATGCGCAGTGTCCCCTTGCACGCACTCGCAGAGTTGGCTCTCTTGGCGTCCCTCACTTCAGCTTCCATGTTTACCTTCAATGTCTTGAGCACGCGGTTTCGAGACAATAACGTCTATGACATCACTTGCTTTATCGGAGTCTTGGACGCAGATCACAGCAGCGATGAGAGTGATGTCATCACAAGATGTTGGAAGTTGATCATCTTGACTTTGACCGGCTTACAACCAGCTCCAGTAACGACAAGGAGATGGTCACTGACAAACTTGCTGTCGTCCACAACGATAGCGCACGTACGTGCATGCAGGGTGGAAGATCAAAGGGCAAGATCGTACCGTGGCGAACTGGGCCAGAATGGGGGCGCCTCGAATGAGTGCATTCAACTAAATACGGTGATCATGCAGTTTATAGGCACCATGGTGTGACTAACTTGAGCAGTGCTGCTTGGTCACCAGACAATAATTATCAACATTCATCAACTGATTATTGCAATTACTAGAGCTCTAAAAATCGTGAAACTTGGTCTATATACTAAGTAACCTATGAGCATTCCATTTCAAGAATAAGCTTCTTGTTTGATATTCATGTCCTAACCCCTTTAAATTCAAATAGCTGCCTTCAAATATCCACTGGCCTTGCATTGGAGATAAAAAAAATATGAAACCAGCTTTGCCTGTTTGCATTTAAGACTGGTGAATTGTCAAGCTCTGCACGAGGTCCACCTAAACTTGCCAACGAGAAATGCCAATTTTAAAACGCCACATGTTGCATGAAATTTGCCTAATAGAAACGCATGTTTACATAGAAGTGTGGATGAGACTTAAAATTGTGCCCTCTCACCGTACGATGGACTAAGGCCCGAAGGCTGGTGGGCAAAGCACTACCTCAGAAAAGCTTGCATCCGCAGTGCGATAGAGTGCACAAGAGAAATGCCGACACGCAGTACGAAGAGCACTAACTTTACACATATGGTTCTCTGTTGTGATAGCATGCTATTTTACATTGGTGAAGTAAACGTTGGTATTTAGTTTTATAAACATTCAAACCATATTTTGAATGAGCACTCGGCTAAGTTGGAGGACGCGCAGGTAACACTGACATAAGGTTGTTTTACCTCAGTCATAACAATCTAATCCAATCTTTGCGTACGTACAAAGAGTCACTGAATGTTCCCAGAGTATCGAAACTCCCAAGCTTCGCTTCAGAACTGAGTCGCGGCGCAGCACTTGCGATCCCCAACATGGCGCTGCCCTGTGCGGTCGAAGCGAAGTGCGTAAAGTGCAGCGTTCATTCTCGTGTGAGCTCTTCAGTCTGTGTTCCTGGCCCGTGGTGACACTGGTTTGTTTTTATTAAAGTTCCTTTCTTCGTTCCGAACGGTGCGCGACTTGCTCCTCGCCATTTCATCTCTCTTTCTCGCCTCGAAACACATCAAAGTCAAGTGTTGGGGAGCCGGCAATCGCCTTTGGCGAACCAGGTTAGCAGCTACTCAATATAAGAATAATCTAGAGAAAATCGAGGCACCTTTTGTCCGGTCCTAACTCGCCGATGCCCACCACTCCCAACCGTGGAAATGCGGAAATGTTTTATGCACGTTTTTATGTTCTTTTGAGCCTTCTACTGCCCGAAAAGGCAGTCAAATTCATGCAGGACATACAAGCAACTCTCGTCGTCGCTTCTACTCAGGTCGCTGCTGCTGGAGGAGCTGCTCGAGCAAATTGATGATGAACTATCACCAAGCGGCAGCAGCAGTAAAGTGGGCGGCACTTCGCGAGCAGCCATTTGAGGTGAGATGTGCCCGGCGAGAAAGGATGTCACGTGCGTGCGTCGAGGGCTGGCCAGGCGAGCTTCCCGTCAAACTCCCAAAATCGGCGGAGAAACTTTTGTCAGATCCGGATCAAGATCTGGAGAGGGAGCTGATCTAAAACGATGAGTGGAACATGTCAGTCTTGATCCCGATCGCCTCGAGAACCGACGAGTCCCTAGAGCCCGTATGCATGTGCACAGGACAGGACGTCGACGCTTACATCGATTCGCACACGGTATATGCGGCCGTATGATACGGCCAATCTGCCGCAGGCTTTGGATCCCTTCGCTTGCACAACAGTTCGACTGGGTTTACCCCATCGTAACCTAGTCCTGAGGGAAACACCCTCTGAGCAACGCAGCTAGTGGTTTTGCCGCATCGCTTGCTCAGAGGTGAGAAGGCCCCTACAAGATAAAGATTAAAGCGTCGTGTCTTACTTCTAGGCTTACTCGGAGAGACACAAAAGAGGAGTCTGGCTCGCTTCACATAGCTGACCTGAAAGTATACTACCGTCGTGATGGGGAAAGTGATTAACATGAGGTTGCGGTAGGACATGGGAAATCCCCTGTTCCTAGCGACCCAGGAGCGAGCTCCGGAATGCGGACTCGCCGAGTTAGCCACACGGTACACAAACCTGTCAGCAAGCAATTTTGCAGTGGAGGCTATGGCTGCTGTCACAATCTGCGGCAGGGTATTTGTTCATTCTGTGTTGTTTTAATACTTTATTCTGTGCAGAATGGCGTCGCGGAAAGACGGCTATGGACGGCGTCACCCAGGAAATCCACTGGGATCTAGACGCGTGCTGTTGTATTCGTGTATACCTTATGGTGGTCGCACTTATTTTAAAGTCCTTCATGAATCATCAGCAAGTATCTGCTGGCTTAAATTTTTGAAAAACTAAGGTCACCTGTAATTTTGCTAAAGGATAAATTATAAATGCTTTCTCATACAGCGTATTTACCCCAATACTGTCTTAAATTATGATCTTGTTCAGGAAGCAAGTCATGGTAAAAATTCAAAATAGGAAAAACCAAACATGCTAATATTGATTATAGGGAAAATATTAATTTCTCAGAAAATCGGATTCACTACCGAGAACAACACAATGTCTTATTCAAAATCTATGCTAATTTTAAGAAAGGTTCCTTTGGAATGTTTTCTAATATTTTCTGTAAAGTAGCAACAAAGTAATGGCATTACTTTAGCAAAGTAACTGTAACTAACAAGTTACTCTTTCAATTTTGTAAGTGTAACTGTAGCAAGGTTACTTTTTTCCTGAGTATCTGTAACTGTAACACTTTTACATGTTGCAATAACGTGCCCAAGGCTGCTAACAAGTACGGGCACATCTCGCCAGGGGGAAGAGTGGCGCTGCGTATGCGCGACAAAACTTCAGCTTCACAGCCACATGGTCCACAGCTTTTGCTGTTACAAAAGCACAACCTCTCTTCCCTCTAAAACACAAATAGTATGGCCCAAACTGAAAACCAAAACAGTAACTTTCGTCGTGACTCGAAAGTACAATGGCCTGTTGTCCTGAAGGAACCTTGACAAGATAAGCGGCAAGACCCCTTTTGACAATGGTCTGAGATTTGAAAGACAAGTGTGGTTGCATTTCCCCAGGACCATTGACCCTGTGCGCTAATCAAACTTAGATGTACCGTCTTTTTTTTTTTTTAGTTTATTGGATAAAGTTTAATTGATAAAAGTTTGATTTCTAAGTATTTTCCTGAGTTTTTCAGATTTATCCGAAAAAAAACGGAACCCTAGCAGTACCTTTTGTATTGGGTAGTAGCTTATGTCACCCAGCCTAAAAGAATGGACACCCCTCCCCCTTTAAATTTTGCCCTAAATTCCGCCCGTCGTTAAATCGTCTACCCAGCAATTTTGAGCACGATGTTGCGGCACAGGGTGGCCCACCTTCGGGGTTGTACTTTCGGCCAAACATGGCGGTGAGCTCCTTGTCGTTGGGGGGCGGGATCGGGTACCGGCCCAGCGCCATTTCAACCAGCGACAGCCCCAGGCTCCAAATGTCCGACTGGACCGTGTAGTGGGTGCCCTGGAGCCGTTCCGGCTGAAGCACAACGCAAAAAAAACAAAAAAAACTTTACGCCCCGCTCAAAACATTGAACAGGACGATGCCAAGAGAGTATTCACGGGGCATCCATGCGGTATGTGCACCCCAAGCATTTTAAGGCGTGAGTTGCGCACAAGAACACAGATGATTGTGACAAAAGCCACGGTCAAAGCAACTACTACTAAACAAGATGATCTGTGGCGTGAAATACATATTTTTGTCATGTAATTAACAAGCCCCTTCCACAAAGCACTTTGCCCGCCATGACTGGCAGTTCCTCCTCCTCCCCACTCCAGTATTTGCTCTGCTGGAGTGGAAAGAGCAAAGGCTTTGTGGGAGGAGCCTTCTGCTCAGTCGTCGTGACGAATTAATAAGTGGGTCACCAGTTTTTTAGATCCCTGTACACATAAATCTGGTCACGTTTCAAAGCCAAAGTGCGACAGTCACGACAAAAGAGGAAACAGGTTGCACGTAAGGGAGCTCCGAGGAAGGAGGCATACGTACGGACATGTAGGACCGCGTGCCCACAAAGGAGTTGGCCATGGAGTCGATCAGCTGTCCGCTCACCCCAAAGTCACAAATCTTGATCTCACCCCTCGAGTTCACCAACATGTTCGAGGGCTTCACGTCTGCAAGAACAGTGGCAACAACAAAAGAAACAACAAGAAAAATCAGCTTCTACACCCCAAAAACCCTTTATATACAAAGAGAAACCTTATATATCACGTCCATTCACATGAGCTACTTTTAACTGTAATTCCACGCAGCAATTTTTGAGGAGCAAATAAACCCAAAGAGGCTGTAGCTTTTTATACATAGCGTGTTGACTGATCCAACGGTCTCACCCAAAGCCATCTATACCCAGAGAGTTTGGACAATGGGAGGAGACTGTGGTTTGCTAGACTAAGCAGACGTCGCAATAACGCAATATGGCACGTTATTTTATCGAGAGATGTCTATGGCCTGTTAGCCGTCAACAACACAAGATGACAGAGAGAATGTGCCATTTCCCTATTGCCAGACTCCCAGCCGTGGTTGCTAGACTGTCGACACCTTCGAAAGACTGCCAAACTCTACCAGCATACACGGCTCTTGTCTCACCGGTTCTCGCATGTTTGCAGAACATGCTTTCTTTTTCTTTTTTTTTTCCAATTTCACGAGCAACGCCAGGTCGCCTTCAATCAATTTCAAAGTGTGAATCTCACCGCAGCAGTTATTTGGATACGATCCTTATTCGACATGTTGCATTCAAGACAACCCGATACGTTGATATATTCAGTGAATAGGTACTCCATACATCACTGACAGTACTGTATCATATTACAGCTTCTATGTAGCCATGCCCGAACTATTTAAGAGTCCCATCGTAGCATTAGTGTTCAGGGCCTACGCATTTGGCACAAGTATGGCAAAAATATAATTCAGGTCAAGAACAACTGTAAAGCTACAGTGTGAATCACTTCTTACAGCTTTCCTCTGCTTGAGGAAAAGAGAATAGACTAATTCCATTTAATTGCTACACTTCCTTCATTATTAAAGACATTACAGAGAGTATCAGGTTATGCTTTGCCGCAATAAGTATCAGCCTACCTCCTATATCTCTATTTCTATAGGATAGGATAACGTACTGGATACACCGTCTTTACTCGCATAATGAACACACTTTTTTTCCCCGAAAAATTGACAGATATTTGGGGGGTGCGTTCATTATGTAGGGTAAAATTTTTTCATTTACACACTTTGCACAAGTGTTATTTCAGGTGCCAATATGACACGGCACGGTACTGTGGCATGTCTCCACTGACGGAGGCGCGCCCATGGCTGGTTGTAAGCGTGCCACAGTAACCATGCTCTATAAATTGCAAACCTTTATTAGGGAGCTTTTGGAGTGCCTTTTGCCAGAGAAAAAGGGCCCTACGAAGCTCACTCAGCATGGAGAGCGACGCTACCGTTCTTAGGCCTAACAACTTTCACGATATCACTGTTTGAAAGCGGATCACAGAAGACGGCGTGTTTGTTGACCTCAATGTATCCGATGGACAAAGCACACCTGGGGCTAGACAATTCCTTTACCCCAGCTTCACTAGGCGTGCGCACCTCTTGGTTTCATGGTTGACCAATTCCGCAACCAAGTAATGCCAGCCATTACGAGAGCGGCTTGGCTAGGCTCGGCTTGGCCTGGCCGCTTGGCGGCAAAAGAAAATATGCGGGCTTGGTGGCTAGCTAAGATGGACGCAGTTCAAGACTTGTGTAGCCAAAAATTAAGTGTTCATTGCACAAGAAAAAAAAAAAAAAAGTCCAAATATTGATTTTTGTTGTGGAGGGTGCGGTCATTATGTGAGTGCATTTGTTAGGCTTGTAAATACGGTACTGCATGACTAGACATCAAGATAACAACAGTAAAAGAACTAAGAACTCACCCCGATGCATTATTTGGTGCTTCTCTCTCAGATAATTCAGGCCTTTCAATACCTGGATAAAAGCAAAATAGACATAACCAGCCTAATGAATTGCACAGTACAGCAAGAAGAAATGATTGAAAGCACATGCAAAAAAAGTACTAGGAGGGCAAATCCAAAAACCGAACATAATATAAAAGAGAGAAGATAAACTCACCGCTATTGTGACTTTGCCCAAAATATTTTCGGGAATGCGATCGGCCTTCTTCAGAACGAGGTCTAGGGAACCACCATCCTGAAACAATGAATGGCAATGAAACCAGCAGCTCACTGAAAAAAAGTAGCTAGATCAAATCACAAAGGTACAGAATATTTCAGGAAAAGATGAGGACGACCTGGGAGATGATCATTATACATTGGAAAACGGGCCAGACAGGCACAAATGCAAACTTTTCTACATTTCTTTTGGTCTTGTAGGTTCGGTAAAAACCCTCGCTTACTACTGCCACTATAACAGCTGAAGGAAACTCATCTCATTGTTTGCTTTAAAAAATTCCCTCACATCACCTGGAAAAAAAATCCCTTGCTAGGTTACAAACAAAGTGCAAACATAAGTGTTCATGCTTTGAGCCATACCATTGCACATGTCCCCAAGGTAAGAAAGTCGCCCTAAAAAAAAAACACCCTTTCAAATGAAGCTTCAGTGAAACCTCAAAGAGCATCATCTCAGCTGTATTTCACGCATGTGTTTCGAGTCTGAATGACTGTGTTACAACTAGGGAACAGACTGGCACCGCCTGTCAGGTTCACTTTCAACCTGCATATATTTCCTCATTCTTTGAGCATAACTATTTCACTCTTTCTCCAAATAATGCTGACAATGTTATAAGCATCTATTTCTCACATAGAGGGTATAGATTTGACCAAGCAAATACTGCAAAATCCTTCAGTCCAGTTACAGGCCGGTTGGATGCGTTCCAGGGCTAGCTTTAACCGATGTCATCAGCGTATCCGTGTGTTCTCTCGAGAGACTAGACTTATAAGAGGGAGCCGCTTGAGCCACGAAGAGCAGTTGCAATTTAATGGCGGGCACCTTCAGTACAGATTGGTAACAAGTGTAGGTGCGTTGCACTGTGGCGAGAAAGATGGCGGGCGGAAAAGCAGAAATACTTGTAGACGATCAACGCTCTTGTCACCTCTTATCGCAAGAGAGGCCCACAAACCAAGCGTTCCCGATCAAGCAGTTGGAAAACACCGTGAAATCTAGGCACATTACCGTTCTATCGTCCTAAGCGACTGTGCGCGTTTGCAACTAACTCGGTCGCACTAAAACACAAATGCGAGAACCAGCCTCCAGCCGACGGGCACCGACCGATCGGGGGGCTCGGAGCCGAGAAGGAGCGTCACTAAGCGGATGGACGGAGCTTCAGGCGGAGAGAGAGGGTGCAGCTGAGGGGTGCCCACCATGTACTCCATGCAGACGTTGATCTCTCCGTCGCTGTAGAAGGCCCCATAGAAGCCCACGATGTGAGGAGAGTTGCACTCGTGCAGGACCTTCAGCTCCCGTATGATCTGGTTGCGAATGGCAGGTTTGACTTCCAGGTGGATCAGCTGCACAATGCCACGCTCGGCATCAGGCGAGGTACAGAGCAGTGAAAACAGCTTGCCGCGAGCAAGTTGGCAACATTATGTTTTCTCGTCTATAGGTCACACTGTTGTACAGGTAAAACCCCTTACAAACAGTCGTTTTCACAAAAAAGTTGGCATATATGAGTCGAACCTCTCCTGATGAAAATGGGCGCCACGTAGCAGTGTCATAGCAACTGGTGCTGGAGTCCCTACGTCACTTCTGCGCCGCGCTGTGTCACTCGGATCTGGTCAGATAAAGCCGCGCGGTGCACCTGTGGCGAAACTAGCGGCGAGCGCAGCGCAGCGCCCACTTTCACCGCTCATGTGTTCTATGCTTTACGGTTGGTTTAGTCGAAGCGTGGTGGACTCACACCGCCATGCTTTGGGCTGTTTTCGGACTGCCAAAAGAGCAAGAAACTGGTGTGTGCTCTGCCATTCCTCCTGTTATAAATGTTGATGTGGCCTACATTGGGCACAGTTAATGTCCAGAGTAATAAAAAAAAATGCATGCAGGTTATACTGTTGTATACAACACAGAAACAAAAATTTTACGGAAAGAAACGCAACTTCTACATTAGAGGAAACAGTACTATACCTTAAAATACCGAGCATGCATTCCTGTTGCAATAAACACCCACCACATACTTTTTAAATATTTGAAATACCAGCAAGACATATCAAGTGCCCACTCTAGCAAACTTCCGAGACAACCAAGCTAATTTATGTGTTTGTGCTTTCCCCGCGCACGCTGCGCAAATCGATGAAGCTTTATGCACATGCATCGGTGCAAAGTGGTAAAGCCTGCTGCTGCTGACACAAACCAAGCTTGATGAAAGCGGCTACTTTAAAAGTGAGAGGTTCTGCCAGACCCACATTCTGCTCCTATCAAACAAGGGCCTACCCTGCGACATACCCCTTCTGCTTTTCTAATCTCACACCTAAGAAGCGCCCATCCCCGTTATTTCGCGATTACCTCAAATCTTTGCATGGGTGCTAACCATCAATGTATGTTATTGTCAATAGACTGTTGCATTTCCTTGACGGTATTGCTGGGAATGGTTTAATGAAGAGATGCCCTGTTTTGTTTTCTGTGTTTTTTCTCCTTTTACATCAATGTACAGCTGAACCTCGGCTTTACGAAACCCGATTTTACGAATTTCCCGACTTAACAAACAAATTCGAATTCCCCGAAAAATAACTTTCTCGATTTTACGAAGTTCCCGATTTAACGCAAGAATCAGCGGGTCTTGGTGACTTCGTTAAATTGAGGTTCAACTGTAGTATCTTCTTGTGAAAAAAAACGACAGCCGGTAGTCAGCGCCGTGTTTGTGTCCGTCTTCGTCCTGTCTTTGCGCCATTTTATTTATTTTGATCACGCATCGACTTGCCCAACAACCCACCTTGTGGTAGTTACTAAATTAGCTCAGGCCGGGCTAGAGAGCGGCTTTCCTTATGGCCTTTGCTCTCGCTCAGGAGCAATGGGATTTATTTCAATGCATGAGGGTGTGACTATGCTACCCCTTCTGGTGCAGCCCGAGCCACCCTGGACATCTAATCTGACCACAGCAATTGAAGACGCATGCCAACGAACTCATCTTAATTTACTGTAGTGCATTGACCGAAGTATCTTTAGCTTACAATAAATAAATGCTCGCTTATGAAAATTTCTCCTTTTTTTTTTTTTTTAAGAAAACATAGAGGAAATGGCATTTCCCACAATTCCCTGCAGGCAGGAGGCCTCATGGCTTGTAAATCTAACTAATCAGTAAATTCCTCCCATTCGACCCCCAAGAGAAGAGGCCCACGTGGTGAGGTTGTAGTGCCTCCTTAGAAAGCGCTAAAGCGTCTTATATTTCGTTTCAGCTTCCGTCCGAGTGCAGCCAAGGCTACATGTGGCCGGAGCCAATCACACGCCGGCAATAGGTCATGCGATCTCGCCTGCACTTTTGTATCACTCCGCTGCACCACTGGCCGTCCGCGCCGCTTGCGCTCGCCGAGTATTTCGTCTGCTACGGGTGTATCAACGGTATCGTCTGCTACAGGATTAAAAAGTGCCCTTTCACGTTCTTAAATTTAATTACAGGAGATTTCAGTACGTTGACTGGCCGCTGGCGTCCGTGTCCGAACTTTCCACCCGTCTGGCATTTCGGCTTAGTTTCGAGATGTAAGCACACATTGCAAGGTGCCCGATGACTCGGCCGTTGATGTTTCATTGTATTGTCTGCATACATCAGGGCTCGAAACGCAGTCATTTTCACCAGCCTCTCGGTGTTCCATGTGATTGGCAGTTAAAGGGGTGTCTCGATTTTGCAGCGTATCAGTGAATTGTAGTGGCCCGGACGCTTTGCTTGTTTACAACGCATTCGCAGTACGACGCCACCAGTGTCTCCTGCCGAATTTGAAACTAGACATTCATCACGACCTCTCGCGCCTGACGCCCAAACATGCATTTCCGAAAGTATGTTTGGAGCGACTCGAGGAGGAAAGCAGCGAAGCACCATGATGCGGCCATTCTGGTATTCCGGGAACGAAATCACACAGAAAAACTGAGCGCTGCAGCCGTGTTGCCAGCGGATGTACGCGTTTTCACCAAACCACGTGGATTTTCATATACTAATGAAAACATAAACTTCAGATATTTAATTCCTTTAGTGGCAAATCGTTCTCAGCAGTACACATCTGGAATATTGTGCAATGTTTGCGCACAAAACAGTTATTAAAAAAAAAACTTTTGCGGACTACTTTGTGGTGCGTAGGAATGCTCTTCTCGAAGTTGCGAATCGTCCCTCAGCCTTTGGCTGCGCTCGGACGGAAGCTGAAACGAAGTATAGTAAGGGTGAGGCCGCAGCGACTCCACCAAGCAGTGGTGCCAGGGAGAAGCTTTCCCCCACATAAAGGCCAAAAGAAAGCGCACCTTTTCGCTCTAGTCTGCTATCACCAAAGTACTGTTCTGTACTAGTACCAAAGTACTGGCTGTAGTTCGCTATCACCAAAGTACTGTTGTACTATTTGAGAGTGTTGGTGCCTTTTAAACAATTAGAAAGAGGAGAAACATAGCATCTGTCTGTCTCCTCTTTCTAATTTTTCCGTGTGTCTTTTCTTTCCAATTGTTTAGGAAGAAGAGCCTCACCTTCCTGGCCATGACGAGCCCGCTGGGGCGGTGCAGCACTTTGGTGACTACGCCCCCGTTGCCCGCGCCCAGCTCGCCCAGGTTCTCGAAGTCGTCGCTGCTCAGCTCCCCGACCTTCTGCTTCTGCGAGAGGAAGGCCTCCAGGCGCTTACGCTGCTGCTCGTCCAGCTCGAGGCCCTCCAGCGTCTTCTGGAGTGCCTCCATGCTCGTGTCCAGTGTCGACTTGCTGCAAGGAAACGTTGTCGTGGCTTCGCCATTCGCCGAAAGCCTCTACTATGCAGAGTGCAAGTTTACCGCTTCTTGCACAGGGGTTGCGAGTAAGTCAGAACGCCGAGCTTTTATCGGCCAATTGAAAAAAAACAGTGGGTAGACCTCGAGGCATCTAGCATTGAGGTCTACCTACTATCCTTTCAATCAAAGTCAATCAGAGCTCGGCATCGTTCCAACGTCGCCGCAACTCCTGCGCAAGAAGCAGACGACTTGCTCTCCGCAGACTGCCCGGCGCCCATGCGTCAAAAATGGTCCCAAAGTGGCAACGAATGATGCCACACCAGCCGGCACGCCATGCTGCTGGATGTCGCGATCTTGACAGTGTGTCATAAAAGTTCCGGCAACAAAAGGCGAGCGAGCGGGAGCGTCACCGTCATGGAAGCCTCCCAACTCCGGGCTGCTGAAGCTTCCATTGTCCCGCTGAAGAGTGACCTACAGCAGAACAGCATCAGCCTCTAGTGCTGTGCCACTGCCGTGACCGTGGCAGGCAACAGCGTGACACAAGTGTGATGTCATTGGGCAGAGATCGAGAGACCACAATTGGGGATGCGGTAAATGCACCAGTTTGAAATGCATTCCTGGCACCGCACTACCACCGACACCTACAAAGTTCTAGGGAAACTACTCAAGGACTCTTTCATCGCACACTGGGACTTCCTTAAGCATGCAAAAACCGTAAAATCTCCACGAGCAATACTGCTTGACCCGAAGCAGTTTGCCACGCAATAATGAGAACAAGGGCCACTCTGCTGAAGTCAAGCTTTAACACGAGCTACGGGGTAGATCGTGCGGCTTCCTTTCAAAGTCACTGCTAGTGCTTTGTGGTTCTCCTGATGTTGTACTTGACAACGTAATTGGCATCATCCCGTCCTGTCGATATATGAGCCTGGCGATGTAGTCAAAGCATGGACTGCTGCTTGAGTTTAATATGTTTGGACTTCGTGCCATTTTTGTTTTTAACGAAGAACTGATCCCAAATTAAAGTTTAATGTCATGGGGCATCGCTGGACGATGCCTGAAAGCTCTAATTTCTAGGGGCAGTTCATATTTTATTTTTAAGCTATTACAATGAAACATTGTTAATAATAATATTGTGCTGTACATAAACAAACGTCAGTGGCCCTTTAAATTTCTAATGGCATCTGAGATACTGGAGCACGACAGTTTTGGCTTCGCGCAACTTGGACACACATAAGTGTGCTCTGAATCATAGACTAGACCTCAACATTCCAAACACACTGCTGCTTTACACTTGCAAGCACTTCACTGCTTTGGTGTCATCCATCATTCAAACAAGGTCAATATCCACAAAGGTGCCTTCGAGCTCCAATGCCACAATTGCAATGGTGACAATTTCTACGCCCCAGGAAGACCGGGAAATTGCAGCTCACTGGAGCGAAACAAGGGAAAGGAGGCTAAAGCACGCTAGGACACCTCAAACGCGCATGAACACGGAAAAAAAAATTAATGAGATGTGAATGAAGTAATGTGCAAGGGAAACCGAACGCACAAACATCGACTACCATTTGGGAGCCCATACACGATGGACGACGTTGTCAAATCACGCCAGGCTGTTTTGCTCTTTCGTTCGGAGTAAAGAAAAAAAAGTGTACGAATGCAAAAAAAATTGCGCTCGGGGTTTGTGAAGCGTATCGCCGGAATCTTACCTCATCATCTACACGTTCCCCACCCCTATTTCCCCTTGCCGACTGACTAGACGGGGTTTCTCAATGGGAGAACGAAGCTGCAATAGACGCACGATAAACTTTTTTCGTTCATTTTACCGACTGAGCTTAAACATATGCAACTGAGCTACGGCACGTTAAAAGTTAGACAGCTGCGATGCCCCATACAAATGATAATGCGCAAGAAAAAGCTTACACAGAGCTACCAAACCACAAGTTTCATCCGAGAAACTTCGGCTGCTATCCATTTCTCCCCTAGGCAGCGTCAACCTTCCCCTCAGACGATTACCTTTCCACCTATTCATGCCAAGGCCAACAAACGACGGCAGGTCATCGGCATCCCAAGAAAATACAACACAAAATATGCGTGCCCCCGTCAACTTGCCATCGAAACATCAACGAGCAAGGGCTAGGTTCCCTCAAAAAAATGCACGGCACCGAGGTAACAGCAGCGTTTGAAAGGTGCAGGAAGATATAGCGACAATCCTGCTCAGTTAAGTCGGGTCAAAGTTGAAGGTGGAGTAACGTTGGCGGGTGATGTCTCGGTGTCAAGAGCAGTCGCGAATTTCGAAAGGTCAAGGATCGTCGGCGGAACTTACTCGTTGTTCGTGTCGCACCCCGCATGATCCAAGGGTTCGATGGATCCCGGAGGGAGCTTGAGGTTCAGTTTGTTTTTGCCCGGGTTCTTGCTCATGCTTGAAGTCTGCTCACTGCAGCATAAGAGCGGCGGTGCTGAAAAATCAAAATACAACTCGAGATGAAGTTCGCGTAAGCACGAGTCGTCGCCGCAAAATAACGCTGGCTGCCGCTGCTGCTCCCCCAGTCGCGGTGGTGACGACAAAACACTGGCCAGGGGGCGCGATCAGTGGGCGCGCTTGGCTTGACATTTGGAAACGCAGTGCTATGCATGAAATCCGAAGTGCATGCGAAACTAGAAATAAAACAGCGCGGAGTAGGTAGACTGGCTTTGGGGGCGCATTGCAAAACGCCAAACCAGGGAGTACAAGGAGACATGGGATGGGCATCATTTGAGAGCAGGGAAGCGGTGAGCAAGGTAGAATTTGAGGATAGGTTGAGGCTAATGGATGGGGAGCAATGGGCACGAAAGGTTTTCAGCTATTTATACATGAGGAGTGTAGACACAAAGTGGAGACAGCGCACTAGGAAATTAAGAGGAAAGTTTTTGGGCTATAGCGAAGATACGGAAGAGCAAGTCTCAGTTAAGAAGAAAGTTAAGGCCACAGAAAGGGATCGGTGGCTAGAGGGAATGCAGACAAAGACTGCTCTGGAAAGCTATAGATTAAACAAAAGAGTTATTGCCAAAGAAAGCATTTATGACAATTCTAGGGGAAGCTCATTGCTGTTTGAGGCAAGAACGGGTGTTCTGCGAACCAGAACATACAGAGTGAAGTACCAGGAAATGGATACAGTGTGCATTGCTTGTGGAGAGGAGGACGAGACGGCTGAGCACTTGATACTCTACTGCAAAGGGCTTCACCCTATGCCTACCGAAGACAACATAGATTTAATAAAGTCATTGGGTTTTAGAGACAGCGAAGGGAGAGTGGATTTCAAGACTGTAGAGATTACCAAGCAAAGATTAAGTGAATGGTGGCAGAAATCGAGAGAAAACTAGGTATTTTCTTATTCACTGATGGCAAGGGGGTTTCATAGCCTCACTTTCTTTGCACTGCGGAGTGAATATAGATTTCACATTTAAATATTCTAAGCTTAAATGGTAAAACAAAATGGCTAGGTGGCGTAAGCTACCGCCCGATCCAAAGGGCTCAGCCGTATTCATCCATCCATCCATCCATCAATCTAGGTAGGTGGATGGATAAATGATAGATGACTGATTCATTTGTAACGGGCGGCAGCTTGCGCCGCCTAGCCTAGTTTATATCAGTTTAAAAATTTTGTGTCTAGAAAAGTGTAATATCACACTTCTCTAGACACAGTTGAGACGTTCTTTTCCCCTGTCTTTCTTCTTCGAATCCGTTTCTTTGCTTTTACCACAGTCTCGGGTTTTCTACATTATGAACACTTCTCTCGACCTTTTTCACCAATCTTCTAACCTCCTCTTTGTTACTGTAATAATCTTTTCGTCCATTCCTCCATCCCCATCCACCAGACCCAGTGCTCCCGCAAAATCTGTCCCCTCCTAAAGTCTCCAGGTGGGTGGGATCACATTGGGAATAAAGCCCCTTTATGTTTCAAAAAAAGCGCAACATGCGTCGATGCACGAGGCACGTGCAACCCTTGGGAAGATCGAATCCCGGAGAAAAGCTCACCGGAGATAAGCTCACCGGAGAAAAGCTCACCGCGAAGCCGGCGAATGCGGAGAAAAGCTCACCGGCCATTCAGCGTCTGCGCAGAAAAGCTCACTGATATTTGTTTCTTCTTTTTATATGGAGGCTTTTGGATCGTGCATAACATATATCAATTTATTATCATTAAAATTCGTCAGCTTTGTAAAAAAGAAAATGTCCCCTTTTGTAATATTTGTTTGCTCCCAAATTAATAATTGCGGGCCAGTGTTTTTTTGTGGCTTACTCTCTAGGCAACGAAAGCCTAATTAAAATCTTTATGAACTTGAAGAACAGGAAAAAGTAAAAAAAAACGTAATGATGACTGCCTAAAACCTAAAAATCAAAGGTGTAAATGCCGAAAATCCAAAAGTGCACGCGCAACACCGCGGTGACTGAAATTCTCTTTGAAGCTTTTGTTAACATTTGAAAACAGGATAAAACAGTCAATAGGATATCGAGGCTTCTTTCTTCCACGGACATGCACGCTTTCTAACCGTTCTGGTGTTTCCACACGTTCCCTTTGTGTGATATAGTGTCCTTCTACGGTGCGCCACCCGTGACCTTCAGAGGTGCACACTGTCTCCGTTGTTAATCGTGAGCTATGTGCGTTCGCTAAAACGTCATTCGATCAAGTGAGTGCCTCCCATATAAGAGCTAGTCATTTGTAATTTGATAAACGTTATACATGATGAACACCGCTCAAACGACGACGACGGAGTGAAGACAACAAACACGACACGACGAAGCTGTTCTCGCAACTAAAGTTTTGTTAGTGAAATTAACAGAAAGAAAACAGCGTAGCCGACACTGATTACATTAACAAACATCTACTTATATATTAGGCACCACACAATATTTGGACCTCAAGCGATTCACACACCGCCATTCATATTAGCTCGCAAAAAACATACCTCTTTATCTGACAGAGCTACCGACCGCGCACCCTCAACTGTCAATAAATTGTTGCCATTTTTACCGGTGTACGATGTTCTGATTTTATACTTGCGGCTTCATTAATTTACAGAATGGGTGATTACTAATTTTTGAGGAATTAGTAAATATGCCCAATGAACCTCAAGAATATTACAAAAACGAGGACATATTTTAATGAAGTGACGAATGCGAATTGTGTTAAGTTGCCACGTTTTACGCAGAATCAAGCTAAGCTAAAAAAATATCGGTGAGCTTTTCTCCGCATCTGCCGGTTTTACGGTGAGCTTTTCTCCGGTGAGCTTATCTCCGGTGAGCTTTTCTCCGGTGAGCTTTTCTCCGGTGAGCTTTTCTCCGCCGCCCGGGAAGATCATGGCGGCACAGCGCAGCCTTGAGCTAGTGTTCTTGAGCTGGATTTCAGACGCCATGAATTTCCCAGAATTTACGCGCGGTAGGTGCCTCCTTTATGTCGACCATGACTATGTGGACCATGCAGGGGCGGATTTAGAGGGGGGGGGGTCCGGATGTCCTGACCCCCCTCTTGATTTCTGCATGTGTAAAAATTTAGGGCGTGGAAACGGGGGAGGGGGAGGGTTCCTAAACATGGCACGCTCACCAACGCCTGGGGTGCTATGTTGCGCTTATTGCACTCCCAGGAGACTTGGAAGAGGGAAGTGACGTCAACGACACAACAAATGCAGATTGGATGTTGACAGAAACGAAATGAACACCCAATCTGCGTTTGCTGTGTCGTTGACGTCACTTCCCTCTCCCTAGTCTCCTGGGAGTGCAAAAAGCGCAACATAGCCCCCCTGACCCCCCCTCTGGAAATTCCTGCATCCGCCCCTGGGACCATGACCATGTCGACCATGTCATGCTTTAGGTGAGATGAGTGGGATGAAGCCAAGGATGAAGCTGATGAAGCCAACGTTGGATGAAGCTGATGAAGCCCCGCACCACTGATCTCTAATTGTAGTAGGCTGGATCGGGAGCCCGTCGGTGTCGCCACTGGCGGCCACTGCTTGACGGTGATACCATGACAATCAAGGAGGTTAGAAGTACTAGGAGGGGTATTGCAGATGGGCTAGTTGGTTGAACATGTTTAGGGGTTAAAAGCGCTAAAAACGACGGACGAGTAGGAGAGGCACACACCACAGAGCGCTACTTGCAACTGGTTTATTATTGGAAAAACTACACGTACCGCGAAACCAACAAGACAATATCCGATTCAGTTCGAACCGTCGCTAATCACACTTCTTACTCTTACACCATGCATGATCGTAAAAACGATAACTCTGATTCAAACAGGGTTATCGATGGGGCACTTACACACATACCCTCGTCACACTCGGAAATAAAAAAAGCTTCCATTATCTCCCTTGTCTTTCTATTTTTGTTTCGTGCCAAGATGACGGTGTGGTCTAAATAGGGTAAACACTCACACCTACTGCAATGTACTGCGAGATTGCCAGAGGGGGCTGACCTCAATGACAGGGCATGTTCCCTCAGTCTTTCGTTCACGCATCGCCCCGACTGCCCCACGTATACCCTCCCACAAGACAAAGGAATTCTGTACACTACCCCCACTCTGCATCCTACGTATTTCGTTGCATGCTTTTTCTGACAAATATCCAACCGTGTGTCACCCCGTTTCACACTCCCACATAGCTTGCTTAATTTCTGTGGAGCTGAAAGGAGAACCGAAATGCCATGCTTTTCCCCCACCTTTTTGATGTTATGGCTAACGTTATGTATATACGGTATCACCACTGGTCTTTTATCTGGCTTGCCCCTCTCTTCCCTCTTCCCTCCTCCACGAAACCTTTTTAGCAAGCCCTCTACCACCCCCTTGATGATCTCACAGGGAAAGCCTCCCTCCTCCAGCCTCCTCACTTGTAACCCGAAGCTTTCGGCTACGCTGTGCTGACAGGACTTCGTTAAGGCCGCGTTCAGGCAGGTTGTGGCGATCCCCCTCTTGATAATCTTGGAGTGGTTCGAGTCATAGGGCAAAACACCTTTTTTCGCCCTAGGACAGTAAGTCCAACATACATGCGACGGGAGAAGGGCCAACTTCAGATCTAAAAACTGCAAACCACCCTCCACCGGGTTCTCACTTGTGAAATTCAAGCCCGAGGCGCTAGTTCTGAAAATCTCCAACATGTCTGACACAAACACCGCCCTTTCCGACTCCCCTTTTTTCCGGAACAGAACAAGGTAGTCGTCCACAAATCTGAATACATGGACGACTCCTGCCTCCAAACTATTCTTAATGTCCCTATCACACTTTGCTAAGTACAAATCACTTAACACTGGAGCCACACTCGCACCAATACACACACCTTGCTTCGGCACGAGCTGTACGTCTTTAAAAACAATATATGTGGATTCCAAATAAAAGCCCAGCAACTCTAGAAGCGCTCTGTGGTGTGTCTCTCTCCTACTCGTCCGCAGTTTTTAGCGCTTTTAACCCCTAATACTAGGAGGGGGCACGTTGCAATATTGGTGAAGCCTAGTCATAATTTTGTGCCCAGCGTGACCGCAGTTCTCGCTGGCGATTGGTGCGCGTGACATGTCACGTGCGAGATGGATGGTTGATTGTAGAGTCACTAAATGAGCTGCGCTTAGAGTATCGGCACTCCGTTCCCCGGCATTGTTGTGGGCGCCGCCATTTTGGCTCGTATGCAGAGCAGACGCAACTGCCGATCGTCATGATTCAAAAGTGCGACTTCCTCAGATTTAGATTCGTTGTTAAGAACGTCACGCAATATTGCTTTGCTCTGTTACGAACTGTTTAAACATTTGTGGAGGGCGGAAAGGCGTTTCCTGTGATTTCAGATAAAGCTTCAGATAACTGGCAACCATGATTTTAAGACACAATATGGCCAAGTGTCGTTACTCTGAAGCGTAGCTTATTTAGTGGCACTAGTTGATTGCAGGGTTGCCAGGTAGGTTTAGCTCAAACCGCCAAAATGCCAAACGGTGTAGCCCAAAAGTAGCCAAATGCAAAAAATTTGTATAGCCAAAAAGTAGCCAAAATCCAGCTGAGTGTCAGGGTCCACAAAATTCAAAATTATGCTCTCGCAAGTAGGAACTGGAGCCGGAACTGCATCTGCATATATTGTGTAGAAGAAGCTTCCAAGAACAGCAACATCTTGAAATGTATATGAAACATTTTATTGGAAAAACACACACAAAAAAGTATCGGCATTTTTAAGTATTGACACACGTTTGTACAGTCACATAGAGTTAACAATCGCTCGTGCAGGGCTGGCTGACCTCATACATCGGTTACGAGTTGAAGCGCACAAAAAATTCTTCTGTGGACTTGAAGTCCTTGCAGCACTCTTTCTTCCCAAGGAATGCAAACTTCACAAACAGGATGCTTTCCAGGGTCGAATGGGACAATCTGTTTCTGAGGTCCGACTTCGTGAGGGACACCTAACTAAGCACCCTCTCAACGGCGGCATTTGACATGGGTAGTGTCAAAAGCGCGGTGCCAAGCGCAGAGAGCAACGGGAACATGGCTGCCCCGGAGCTGTTTCTTGCCTCCCTTACATTTTTCCAAAATAGCTCTAAACAATCATCAGACAGATCTCTGATATTCGTCTGGAGAAGCCTGTACTCGGACTCCATGGCCGAGATCACCGAAGTCTGTATAAAAGGCGAAAACGCTTTGTAAAAACTGTCAAAAGAAAACTGTGTGATGCTGCCATGCTTGAGAAACAACAAATCGTTGAGAAGCTGCATGTTCGCAGGGAGGCGTTTCATCACACTTTTGATACACGCAATCACAAACCTCCGACATACTTCCAAGAGCGCAATTCTGTCCTTCTCGCAAAGCGAGGACTGTTCAAGAGTATTCAGAAAAACAGTTCCGAAGCCACATGCACGTACATGAAGCACATTCGTTTCCCAGTCCGCGCATTCGGGTGATGCGTAATTCGGCATGATTACTCGTTTCATCAATATCGAAGAGTTGCCCTTGCACGGCTTTGACCTAGATGTAGCCTCCCAATCCACCTCTTTCCTAGGAAATGGTAGGGTGATGAAAAGAAAGGTCAGGGAGGAGGATGCAGGGGCAAGGTCCTTCTTTGTGTGAACTTGGAGGCATAAGATAAGCGACAATGAATACAGAAGCGATGCCATTAGAACTGAATCTAGGTCAAAGCCGTGGTCCTGACGTCATGCCTACGCATCTTCACAGAAAACCTTGAAAGCAGGAATCCGTAAAAAATGGACTGCTGATTTGTGTCCATCCTAAAGTGTCTTTTATCTCTCTACCCTAAAGCAAGCACAAGAAAAATAAATAATAGAGACCTCTGTGTCTTCGTGTCCCCTTATATTGCCCGCAGTCTCAATGTTTGTCATGTTGAATTATTTTTCTCCGTCATGATTTGAAATAGCCCAAAAATAGCCACATAGCCAACCGCCACATTTTGACGCCAAATAAAAAAAGAAGTAGCCCAATTTGGCTATTAATAGCCCAATCTGGTAACCCTGGAACTTGATTGTAGGAGAATTCCTTGCAGGCTTGCGCGCGCTCCGTCCGGTAGGTTTTATCAGAACGAAGGCTAGACTGCGGTGTATTCTAGTACACCATAGTTAGACGAAGGCTATCTACGGTCACGTGATGTGGTCATGTTGGCGTGATAACTGGGGAGAGTAAGGAGGAAAATGAGAAAGAGGCGAGGCGTCAAGGGAGCATGGCTTGTGGAGACTACGCGGCTGACGTCATGCCTTCTCCTACCCTTCTATTCTCCATGATGACAATTCATGCAAGTCTATGGGAGGAACGCGCAAAAGTAAGAATATTGAAGCATGTACGTTGTGCTCGGAGGCGAGTATTTTACGGTGTGCTGCGATCCTTATGTCGGGTGTTTGGAGATCGAATCGGTATTTGTCAAACGTTCGAACGCCGATTAAAAAAATCAAACGTACAGGAGCAACTACGGCTCCTACGGCTGCCCTCGGCTGAGCTCGCCAGCTTACTCTCGTAGTGGAGTAAACAAAGGAACTTGCAGTCAATGAGACCGTCCTCAGGGAAGTCCAGAAGTTGATGAATGACTAAGAATTTCCATCTCGACAGCGGCTTTCCGCAAGTGAGCGGATTCCGCGTAGCAAAGCCTTCGAGCTTGTCGTCTGCTAAACCCAACTCAACGAAACCGCCACCGACTCCGCGGTAACTCTAGGTAACTCTTGCCTCATTGAGCTGCACTACAGCGAAGTCACCCTCGACCACAAAATATTTATTTATAAGAACTGCGAGGACTGTCAGTTTTAATGTTTGTACACAAGCTATTTGACGGGCTTATCAAAAAGGAGCCAAAAGGTTTCAGTGCCGACAACAGCTTAGAAACGGGGAAAACGGCACTTTTTCTCGTTTTTCCCATAGAGTCCCATGTATTTATTACAAGCAAAATTGCGACTAGGTAGCGCAAGACACCGTCCAACTCAAAATATTAGTTCTGATATTTCTCTATCGATTTTAGCAAGCAAACAAAGCAAACAATAATCGAACGGGCGCACGGGATTTAAATGATTTAAAATTCAAATAACAGATATCCAGACGGACGCGGAAGGAACAGTCGTGTCCGAACGATGGCTCCCTTTTGTCTGGCGGTGTGGCTTGCCTGTGCATGGAATTCGGCGCGGGCTTCGCCCGAAACCGTGCCTTTCAGCTCGGCGGCGGCGGGCACGGCGGTGACCGAAGGCCGATCCCACTACGAGGCCCTGGTCGCCCAAGGACCTCTCTACGGTCCCTGTTGGTTGTCGGCCGTGGCCAATCTTCACCGCAGCTGCAAGCAGCTCACCGAAGAGACGCAGAGTCGCGTCGCCCTCGACTTCACCAACTGTTTCCTAAAGAACCTGGGCCTGAGCGGGTTCGACTGCCCTGCCGCGGAACCGCTGTCCCAATGCAGTGCTCTGCGGAACATGTCCGGCCACGTAGCCTTCTCGTCCTACTCGCAGTTCTTCACGCACACGCAGGTCATCTGCCAGTTCCTGCAGAGCCAGCTGTGGCAGGCGCAGACCGAGAGAACTGTCAGCGTACTCGCGGAGACTAGCGTGCGGGTCAGCCGTGACATGCAGCGGGCAGCCGATGGCCAGGTGAGGGCCTCATTTTGTGTTTGAAATGCCGGAGTCACACTAGGGCGACAAACAAAAACAACCCACGAGCCTCAAGCGCGTGAAGGTTGCATGCGAAAGTAACTTTTGTGAGGCTTTACAGTCTCTCGGTGCTTGTGAACTAAGCGGGAGTGATTTTGCAAGTCTGCCAAAAAAAAGATACCCTCGTTCTAGTGGACTCGTGCATAAAAGCTGGTTTACACAATCCACCATTTTTAGAGATCGCTGGTTTAAAAGGCTCTGGTATGGAGGTCTGTAAGCATGTGCTCAAACGAGTGCGGGTACCCCCTCGACATGGGCGTACCAACCGGGGGGGCAAGGGGGGCACTTGCCCCCCCAGTTCTCAGAGTGGGGGGGCAAGGCATGCGTTTTGCCCCCCCTGAAACGGCCGCCACTGGGCAGAGCAGACACAGGTCGGCGGCGCCCAAGGAATACCAAGGGCACTGCCCCCCGACCCGCGCGGGCATATTTTTAACGCGCAGGCGATACAAACCCTAGCAACGGTGCTCACGCACGCCGGATTGGCTGGTTCGTAAAGCCTTGCTCCACGAACAAGGCTACACGGTAACCTTACGGAATCCATCCGCGAGACATGGGCCGGACGGGCCGTCCAGACCAGGACGTAGGCCCTTACACAAAATAAAGTTTTGCTTGCTTGCTTGGAGATAGGCGCTGCCGCCGTCAACATAGGCAGCGGATGCAATGCGAGTTTCCGAAGAGGTAGCGTAACTTAGTGGTGAGATGTCTGCCTCATACGTGTCAGACCCGGGTTCTATTTATGGTGTGGGCCGGCTTACTTCTTTTTATTTTTTTTCTCTAACATTTTGTTTTGTCGAGGCATTTGGCGATATTTACATTTCTTTTTTACCATTAACACTAAAAAAACGAATGTTGTTGACGAAACATCGCTAAACTAAATCGTATCGACTCTATTTACGGCAGTGCATGGGAGGCAGCGGGGCTTGGGTTGCCGACCGGACGCCGCAAAGTGGCGTGTACGGGGGGTGGGGGGGCTAGGTGGGTTAATAGATTTGTAATTAGCAGCCGCACACCGTCACCGCGAAGCGGCGTGAACGCAGGCGCGGGGGTGGGTTAACGCGCTTCGAGTGATACACGAGCAGCCCATCCGGCGTGAGCGTCGTTGTTAGGGGTTCTATCGCCTGCACCGTAAAAGGAGCAGTCTGTGCACCTCCTGTAGTGGGCAAGAATTCCTACATTGGAGAGAAGCGGGGACAAGCCCTTTCTTCAAATGCGTCAAGTCTCCTTGAGCTTCGGAATACAAAGAAACGCTACTATTCGGAGCTAATCCCACAGTTACTCGACCTCTCTTGCGCCGTGTCTGTTCGCTCCCCGCGCCTCGTAGCAGTGTTGTTGCAGTGGGGGGGCTCGTTAAAATTTTGGGTTTTTTTGGACTATCTAAATCACTTTCTTCCTTCCCATCCCCCCCTTTTCTACTCCGCATGCTTCCCCCTCTGCAAATATCAGCTGACCTTCCGACCTCTGTTCTCTGTTGATAGGCAAAACAACCACTAAAATTAGAAAGTAATTTGTAATTTGAGTGGAAGTCACTCGGAAAAGTAGTTAAAGTAAACTACTGATTACTAGAATAGAAATGTAATTAAAAGTTACTAAACTACCCAGAAAAGTAGTTAAACTACAGTAACTTGAGTAAAGTAGTTGAACTACGTACAAGTCTGGCCTGGCAAGCGCTCTGCGTAAGTGTTTCACTGATCTGCCTAGCCCCGCACACCATCACATGGGCCAAGAAAGGTGTAGTTTTACTGCAGAGGAGAAATCAGCAGGGTCCAAGATGGTGACAATGGAGGATGGGGGACTGTTCCAGTGGCTGATGGCTTGAGAAAGGAATGACCAATTGAAAGCGTTCGTAGAGCCAGAAGTGTGTTTGATGGTGCAGAAGTTGTTGAGGCGAGAAGATGTTCGGTCGAGGGGCAATAACAAAGTGGTTTTGAGGTCGGGAATGTGGTAGTAGATTTTGTGAATAAGGCACAGCTGAGAGACTTTCCTGCGAAGCTGCAAAGAGGACATGGTTAGTTCAGTTTTTAGCGCCGAGACACTGAAAGAAAAGTCATAAGTGGATGAAATGAAGCGAGCAGCTCTGTTCTGAACTGCCTCTACAGCGTATTGGTGGGGTACAGTCGATGGGTATTCCAGATGGTTGAAGCATATTCTATTTTTGGTCTGACGTACGTGTTAAAGGTTAGCTTAGGGACAAAGGGTGGAGCGATTTTTTAAGTTACGTCTGCTTAGTCCAAGAGTTCCAGATGAATCGGCGGCAATGACTTCAATGTGGTTATTCCAGGGAAGGTCAGATGTTAGTCTTACACCAAGGTATTTATACACAGTAGCGGTCTCAATCAGATCGGAGTCCAAGAAGTAATTAAATGACAGAGTGGTTTTTTTCTTGGTGAAGTGGATTAGTTTGCGTTTATACTTGTTTGGTGACATAATCCACTCTTTGCACCAATTGTTAATTTTACCTAGATCTTCCTGAAGCTGGTTATTATTTTGCACACAAGTTACTTTGTTATGGATGACGCAGTCGTCGGCGAAAAAGCGTTTTTTTGAAGGAATTCCAATGGGAATGTCATTAATAAATATTAAAAAGAGTAAGGGCCCAAGTACGAACCCCAGGGGAACACCAGCAGATACATTTATTAAGGAAGATTCATGATCATCATGGACGTGACCTGTACACGGGAAAAAAGAAAGTCACGAATCCATGCAAACGGTTATTGGTCGAGGCAAAAAGATGATAGCTTAGAAAGAAGGCGTTGATGGAAAACACGGCCGAACGCTTTGGAAAAAAAAAAAAAAAAAAGCTGCGTCAGTTTGGACGTGACATTCAAGGTTAGTGTGCAAGTCATGGATGAAGTCGCAGAGTTGCGTTTCGCAGGAAAGTACCTTTTGAAAACCGTTCTGCTGTTTAAAGAAAAGAAATGGGATGATAGGTGCCTCATGATATTGGAGTAGAGGATATGCTCAAGTAGTTTGCAAGAAATTGAAGTCAATGAATTAGGGCGATAATTAGATGCGGAAGAGCGGCTGCCCTGTTTAAAGACTGGGAATTACCCTTCCCACCTTTTGGTCAGATGGAAGGCAGCTTTGAGATGAGGACTGAATGAAGATGAGTTTCAAATACTCACTAGAAATAACACGGGTGTTTCTTTTAAATTTTAGGGTTGATGTTATCGGTTCCAGCGGACGAAGTAAGTTTTAGTTTATCAATCAATGTTTTAATACCAGCGGAGTTAACGTTAATAGGATGCATGCGCTCGTAAAGCTCTTCAGGGAGAGTGGGGACGAAGTCCAAGCACTCGTTAGTAAACACTGATGAAAAGTATTCGTTAAACACAGAACTATCATGCTCGACGTTGCACATCCGACATTCCTAACTCTCCCCATCTTCCTAAACGTCCGTGTGTGTCCTAACACCAGAAACCGGAATTTTAAAGGTTAAAAACGGCACGTTGCGAATATGGAACGCGCACTTTCATGCAAAGCTGACGTCAAGTGACTCAAATCGAAAAACATGCATATTTACAGTATTGTTATCTCTTCTGGTGAAGGCTAAACAACCGTTGCATCCGTTTTCGCGCACGAAACGGTGACTCCCAGAGAAAGTAAGAACGCAGTGATTGTCTTTATTTTAACAATGTAAACACACTTGCAGGCGTGCGCTGATGAAGCCTCAAAATCAAAACTCTCGTAGTGTGATTCGTGACTGCTCCGGCTACTCAACCTCGTTGTCCCGCCACTTTCTGCAAGCAAACACTAAAATTGCGAGTAAACACACAAAAGCGACATCGATACAATTATCTTGTAGAATATCACCTTATTTAATCATAACTGTTTCAATAGGCACTACAAGTTGTATTTATTTTAAGAAGAAGAAGCAAAATTTTTTTCGTGAGAAAAAACAAAATATCAATGTTAAGTCTGGTAACGTTGTAATTTTGCCGAATCAGTGCCACATCTTTAGAAAACTTCGACAAAAGTTGCGCCGAATTTTCGATTAAGGGGGGGGGGGGAAGAGGGTCGGGTTTGCCCCCCCACTCAAAAACAAGTTGGTACGCCACTGCCCCTCGACCAAGGGAGCCAGACCCCGTTGGTTCCATTGAGCGGCAGTTACCCAGATTAAGGTCCCATGCAAAGGAGCTTGCAGACTGCTTCATGAATCAACTAGGCGAACAACAAGTTTTAAAGAAGCTTTCCTCTTCTTCCTCCTCCTTTCTTATGGCCCATTGTTTCATCCTGAAAATCCTCAAACCCGCTTTTCCCCCAGGTGGCACCAGTTATTTCTAAAATGGTTAGGGAGGCTCAAGTGAGGGTGGGTGCAACTCCTAGATCGGGGATCACGGGACATGGGCACCATTTAATTGCAAAATTTTGCTGGGAGTCTATGGGGCAAAGGGTCGTTTTCTTTCCTAACTCAGGTCATAGAGGCCCATTAACGTGCTTGAATAATTTACACAAGGTATAAATGATTACTGTTCCATAGCCACCAGTTTTGTTGCGATAGGTTAAGTATTTTTTTAACGCGAAAAATGGTAAATTCCGCCATCTTGGACGTTGCTGCTTGTCTGGCAACCCTGCTTTCTCCTCTCGACGTTTGCAATTCTCGGAGCAAGAAGGAAGCGAGAGAGGCTGCGCCAAGGCGTTCGTTGCTTGCAATGGGAGGCGAGAGGAGGAAAGGCGCATGGAGCAACAGAGTTGCAACAGAGCAGGCGCCCGCTCTCGTGCAGGTAACATTGGCGCATATCCTTTCTCGAATTTTCTCCCTCAGGCGCCGCCATTAAATTGCAAACGCTCTCCAGGTTTTGAGTTGCGCCCACCCTCACTAGAGCCTCCCTAAAAATGGTAGATTGTGTTTGAGTGTGATCGGCCATGTTGTGGGTCGCGACTGCTTACGAGGAGACTGGCGCTATCTGTCGGGCGGTATTTTTCAAGATCAAATCCATGTGCCATCTATGAGAAACTCAAAACATTGTCCAAATCGATCACTCAGACAACAGTCACTCGGAACATTGTTCGGTAAAAGGATGATTTGTAAAAATATAAGAAAATAAAATCAGACTGGATGTGTTCCATGGCTACCCAGTAGATGGTGCTAGTGTGTTACCTCGTTTAATATTATTTGACCTGGAGCTAAAAGAAAAATCTCTCTGGCTATACTCTCTCACCAGTTGCGCACAACGTTGCCAAAGGTACAGGGGTGAGAGAAAACCTGAGCAGTTCAAAATAAGGAAAAGAAGAGAATCCCCCCTTACCCGGACCCTCTTTTGTGAACCCAATATTCCTTTCCTCCCTCCAAAATTAGCCTGTTGCTCAAAATTCGTGCAAAAGAGGCTTTCCTTTTTCTCTCACCCGCGGCTTTCGCAGTACTGTGCCCAACTAGTGAGATAGAGTATGGGTGGTGCAAGTCACTACCTGATTCAAATGGAACAGCCACCAGGCATCCATCCATCTGTTGTAAGCGTTCGCAAGCTGTTGCAACGTGCTCGGTCGCACTCAGATGCAAATGTGTGAACCCAATGTTACTAGATCAAAGTCGGTCGATAAGCTTCCTAGAACGCCTGGTGCCTTTTCGTGGCGTGTGTGCTCAGTGGTGCTGGCTACGCTATCAGCCTGCCCAATGGACAGAAGCAGTGAAACCGGTGGAGTGTTGAATGCACACTACCTGCAGTGGAAAAGGCTTCTATCGTGGTTTCTATGGTAAACATAAAGTTTGCGGTGAAGTCCATGGAGAAAGAACGTCAGTCAAAAACGGCGATTCTTTGTTGCCCATGGAGGCGTTGACGCTGGCGGTGCTAAGAACGCTACCCGCCCATACCTTTTCGCAAGCGGGCAACAAAGAACAGATTTTGAACGCCATTTTTCCGTGAAGCTTGTTGACTGATAGATCTAAGAACGTCGGTGAGAACCAGCCTTGGGTAATCCCAAAACATTGCGCCTGTGCTTGTGTGAACTTTGTCTTGGCAAACAAGGGGGCACACAAAACAAACTTAACACTTTTACATGCAGGAACACCTGCTTCGACTTCAACGTGATGCCCAGGAAGGGCAACGCCAGCTCCTGGCCAATGGCAGGCTTCTAGGGGTGGAGCTTGCGCAGTCCCGCCGTCTGCTCACTGAGCAGCACTCTTTGCTAGGCGAGACGGCGGAGCAGCTCTACCGTGCGCACGCGTTCTTTGTGGGCCAGTTTGCAGCCGTCCAGTCGGTTGCGTACTACTTCATGGCCGTGGTGCTGTCTCTGCTCCTGACGGTGCCCAAGAGGATGGCAGACGCACGGTCGTGGCTGTTGCTCCTCTTTACGGCCAACGTGTGTGTCGAGAAGCTGCTTGCTGATTGGATGGTGGGCGAGGAGGCCACTCGCGCTGTCCCCCTGGCCTATGACGTGAGCTTGGGCATTGCAAAATCGGAGGATAGACCATTTTTACTAGGGTGAGAAGAGAGATGGAAATGAGCGATCCGTTTTTGGGCAGTTCTGGCAGTACAGCCGACCGGAACTGCCTAAACGATGAGAACGGTGTGTGCCCTCTTCCTCTTCTACCCCTGCCAAATCTGTTGAAATGTCCGTGGAGGACGGCCGGTTCGTCGTCTGCTATCGGGATCGGGCGTGTTCCCTTTTCCTTTTTTACCGCAGCAATTGGCTGTGGCAGCCTCTGAAGGTGGGCGACTCTTGTAACTTCTCTCCATCGCTAGACGGAGCATCCAGAGGCTATAAAATGTGGTAGCCTAAACAGTTTCAGTGAACTTGAAAATGTTATGGAAATTGGAGGTGATACAATTCAGTCGTAGGGAAGCCACAGTATAGAATTTTTGTCAGAAACGGTCATCTTACTGTTTTTCTGGTATATGTATGATCCAGGGCTGGGCAGAGATACTAAGAAAAGTATTCAGGAATAGAAATACTGAGATACATGTGTTTTAAGGCCCAAAATACAGATACTGAGATACATTTGTCTTTTATGGAATGGGATATTCCCGAGATACTTTTGCAAAAACGGCGAAAAAGTATTCCAAAATAGAGATACAGGCACTTATAGAAATACATTTGTTCCCGAACGATGCTACATGGGGAGTGTGCAGTTCGTGGCGAATGCAAATGGTAATTTATGCATGTGCTCCTTTTTTTGTGCCATTTTATGTACTACCCCTCACCTCGAACTCTTTATTTATCGTTAATGCCGCTAAAAAAGCATGTCACTCCCGTTGAACCACATAATTGCAGAAAGGTAAACCCTGTGTACCATGCTTGACAAAAGGCGTCTGCCCGACTGCCCGAAATGAACCCTGTTTTTCCGTGATGGTGCGTCTCAAACTGTCTTCTCATATGCTTTGGAGTCGCCCATAGTTATGGGAGATGTGACGACAGGGCAATACTTTACAGAGTTTGCTCTGCTAAATTGGAAAGAATGGAGGGTTTTGTGAGAGGAGCTGATTTTGTTATTCTTGCAAGTAACCTTCCTTAAGGCACAGCTTTTTAATGTTGGTGACTAAGATGAATCAGGTTATAGGGCGGGTTAATATTATAAATTCCGTAGCAACTTGCACCACACAGATGTTTTTATCCTTTAAATTTATCTTAAAAAGGGCAACAACTGTAACAAGCTATGCAAGTCTGGCAAAGTATCACAATACAAGCGATACATTGTAAATGTATCCCACTATTGAGATACAAATACATTTTTCAAATGCATCTCGATACAGAGATACAGATACTCGAAAGTATCTCTAAGATAATATTGCGATGCATTTGTATCGCGATACTGCCCAGCCCTGGTATGTTCCTTGAAAGCATGACAACTGCTTTCAATCACTCGAGGCTAGTGCAAACATCGCTGTCTGCTGAAGGTGGAACCTACATTAATTTCAGCCTCCAGCTCGTTAGTATTTCCCATTCTCGACACTGATAGTGTTTTACATAGATTAGTATAAACAAGTTTCCTAAGTAGGCCAGTAAATAAAAAAAAAAAAAAATACTTGACGAATTAAGAAATATACCTATTATTATAAAACTATGAGTCCCTTTATACTTGTTTTTGATCAACTTGATGCTGTGCAACAGGGTCCCCTCAAGACGAAGATAGCCTGGTGCCGCCGCGCCTTCTGCACGATGGCGTTGGGGCTGTACGCCCGGTGTTGGTACAGCTACCAGGACTACATGCAAGCCAACAACCTTCTCCTGCTAAATCTACAGAAAGATTTGCGATGCCTTCAGGGTGAGGTGTTTTCTTTGAACACAAACCACAATTAAGCTTTTCAGTTGTGTTAACCCAACATGTAGCTATCATATATAGTAGGGTGTAAAATAAAGAAAATAAAAGAAAGCTACACTGTAATAAGGTAGTAAATTGCAGCCAAATTTATTTTGGGCACAAGTACTTTTGACAAATAGAAATGGGCCCTGATAAAGTGCACCCGTTCTTGTTTGACAGGGAGGCAGCAGTGTTCCTTATCTGTACTGTTCTGCGAGTTTTCTAAAGCTTGGCCACAGCTGTTACCTTGCCACACTGAGGAATCACTTTGTGCATCATTGTCTAGTCGAACATGGCTGATCTTTGTCTTGATCTGCAGAGCAAATGCACCTGACCGCCAGGCGTGAAACAACTCGAGAAACTGCCAACTCCAGCTCGGATGAAGAGACGTCCTCAGGTACTGTTGGTCAGTCTGGTTGTAGAAAGAAAGCTCTTGGCATAATCTTGCGTTCAAATTGTAGCGGAGCCTTTCTAGCGATTTGTAGAAGTGGAAGTACAGCAACTGTGGTATACTATATTCTTACCCAAATTATAAGAGCTTGTGTATCTAACAGCTAGCACCTTCTTTATGGGACTGCTTGGTTTACTCTTTTAGCACAGTTCACAAAACTTTGCAGGCACCTTGTTTTTCTACGGTTTTGCCAGTCACTGCAGTGAAACTGACAAGCGGTGATTTTAAACAGTTTATGTAGCAGGGAAAAACGGGTTTTGGAGCAGTGATTCACTCTTTAGGAACAGACAATTTTGAGCTTTCTCGTCAAAGTTTTATACAATCTCTTTGCAAGTTAGCCTGTGGAAAAAACTGCAGTTACTGGAGTGTTGAAAGACTTTAAGGTGTCATACGTACAGAGGAAATGGCCATTACAGATATTTATTTATTTATTGAAGGATCATACGGCAGTAATTTTGCAGATGTCGCAATTAACCTAGTAGGAGTACATATGGCATCTTTGTCTTTGGTCCGTTTTTGACGTAAAAATATGTTTTAGGATACTTTACAGAGTTTGTATCATGCTTCTCTCGCTCATATTCCAACTACTGTTCCTAGAGCAACTAAGCGGAGCACATAGCTACTCTAACCGATCATAATGAATAGTGCTAGCTATTCATTGCGATCGATGTGAGCACCGTTCGCACAAAACCGATAACTCTTGAATAAGGCACGTGCGAATCATGGATTTTGGGTTCGAAACAAATTCAAAATGAATAGTGGTTTTTGGCTGAATATTTTTTAATCAAATTTTTAATAGTTGCTGAACCATTCTCCACATCTTTTGCTACAGTAAAGGCCCGTTCAGACTCTTGCGACCGAGTACGACTGAGAGAGACGAGATCTCTTAAAACTTCTTAAATGTTTTTAGAATGAGGGAACACACTGGCATTGTGGCGCCATCTATGCGGTGACCCTGGAACTGCATTTCACGAGAGCGAAGGTTTTGCGGGATTTCCGAGGTCAAATGTGCGTAGTACCCATGGAAAGGCTCGTTTATAACATTGACAAAGGTTTTTCGAGCCAAGAAAAAAAGGATAATGCACGAGAAATAAAAAAAAAATATGCCGGACCGCCGGGTTTACACTGCTTCCCAATAGATGGCGCCAGTGTGTTTTCTGGTTGAAGAAGTTTTAAGGAACCCAGGTTTAAGAAGTTGCAAGAGTGTGAACGGGCCTTTACACCATGCCTAAATGAAAATTCAGCTGAACTCGCAAAGGTTGTTCCCAAGCTTCTAATTGCCCACTTATGAGCTCTGTTAAATTTAATCTAGCCGTATTTATAGACTGTGCCCTCAGAAAGTTCAATACCTACATTGGGATGGAGTGTAAACAACATATTTTGCATGATATTAAACCTATGAAGGGGCCCAGCCATATCTAGTTGAGGGAATTTATAAATATTCTTGCTATATGCAAATGGTTTCTTCAATTCTAAAAACAAAACACAAAACAAGCACAAATAATGAACAGATGTTGTTAGAACATTGTGGCCTAACTTATACCCTTGCATAAGTTAGATTTTAAAAATTTTATTGCAGTGTATCCCTTTTTTTTTTTTTTAATACACAGGCTCGGGTGTGCATGAGACTACTTTGAAGGTGTGTGTTTTGCCTAAGCACGCCGCTCCGCTGCGGCGAAGCGAGTCGTGAGATTGCGGTGTCAGCTCCGTGGGTATTGCTTCTCTGCACTGCACCGGTGCTTAAAGAGAAGCGCACTCAAAGGGGCACACCCACTGCCATCAACACTTCGAAAAGTATGAATGTCGCAGTTCACTTCGAAGCGAATATCAAATAGCGTGTTATTTTAAACCACTATTTGAAAATATGAAAATTCGCGCAACCCTACTTTTTGCACATAAAACTTGGGCATCCGAGAAAACAGCGGTACTTCCTTATTTTTCGGCGGCATTGTCAACAATGCCACATGCCAGACACTTTGTTTCCTTTTCGAGAACAGCTCCCTTTTGGCGCATATATAACGCAAATAGACCGATGCCACCAAGCGAACTGCGCAGGCGCGCGCATTCCGGAAATATTGCCGCCGCCATGCTACTTGTAGTCATCGCTCTCCGACTTCCCGGCTGAAAAGGGCTCATGTCGGCGTACATCATAGTTTGGGAAGCCCTGGTGTTAGCTTGGATTCTCCTGCATATCAGTACTTTATAAAATTGTGTTGTTTGTGATGCCTTAGTTTGTCATCAAGCGCAAAAAAAAACAAAAAAAAACAGTTTCGGTCGTCTTGTCGCTTTAGAATCGCTTTTTCGTCTGCTTCGTTGTCGTCCGCTTCTTCGCCTTCGTGAACGCGCGTGAACCCACTGCGTTCACGCGGTGGTCTTACTGCAACAGCGGGAAAAACAACGAGGCCGCTACTCCCTCGAGCACTTTGGATAAACTTGGAAGCAGGTGAATATCTACCTCAACGTGAAAGAGCACAAAATTCAAAGGAACCATCGGCTCGGTGTAGCACCGCGGAACAGCGTCAAATGTGTCGGTGAAATACCGAGCTATGTAGTGCGCAGGCTTGGGCATAACTTTTATTCGACCATGAAGACGAGCTCAATAGACATTTTCGGAGAGCGATAGTTTTCTAAAACTCGTTTTATTCTGGTTGACAGCCTTTGCAACAGGGTGCAGATGAACTGCGGGGGAAAGCCTGCATACAAAGAAACGATCCACAAAAAGAACCTGCCCGAAGAGCTGTAACAACTCGCATTTGTCGAAATGAAACGTAACCATGCGAGATGCCTGAGAACATCGGGTAGAGATAAGCTCTTGTGTACAGTTTCTATTCAATTTTATTTGGTTAACGGTAAGAGCTGTCCGACGGAAAATGCTTTTTTCCGCTGTGTCGCTTGGTGTTAATACAGAATGAATCAGTAACGCCAGCCAAAATCTTGTGGCATAATAGCCCACCAAAAAAAATTAAGTCTTATTCGGGAAAAGTTTGTTTTATTTCAAGTTATACATACCGGGAATCGCTGCTCTTTCTTCAGTGATTGTGCTGATCGTGTGAAGCACAGTTGTGCTCAAAACATGTCGTATCAATAACAGTTGTAACCACCAAAATGCATCAAGCAAACATTGTATTAAAAACGGTCGCCGCAAGGCAGTGTGGAAGTTCCGATTGAGATAGACCAACGGATATATCGCTGCGGAGCGAGTGCTCAGGGAGATTCCAACGTACGGAACACTTTAGCACACCCTATTACGTCTCATGCCCTGTGTAAGCTTACCCTTTTTAGTTATTGTGCAATGGGGTGAATATAAATTATGAATCAAATAACGAAACAAATCTAAAAACTCTTTTTCCTGCCGCACTTCTACCGCTCTCTTTACCTTTTTTAGACACTCTTTTCGTGGGCTGCTTTCTTTCGGGAAGACATAAAATCCGATGCCTCTTTGCCTGGTGCGGTTATTGTAGCACCTTGACATAGAACTGGTGAAGACTCCCATTAAAAACCGTGAGTAAACGGCCGACTAAAAGACTCGTGCTAACCTTAAAATTCCCAAACGCCGGGTGTACAACGCGCCTTGACGCAACCAGAAAACTGGGGAGAACTGCAGGTACCAGAGTGCACCGCGGCAGCGGTGGCGTCGTGCAACTCCTGGTGAGATCGGTCTATTGTGCACACTTTGGAGCAGCATGTAGCAGGTTGTTTGTTCTGGTGCACTTTGGTGCACTTGGCGCAGCAGTTCCACCGCTGAAGTTATGAATGTCGATTGTCAGCAAATATGCATCAGTAGTCAAAAATCAATATTGTTTATTACAAACAAGTTTGCTTTAAAGGGCCCATGAAACGAATTTTGGGCTGGAATAAATCACTTTAGATTTGGATTTCTCTAATAGCACATTGTTCAGTGGGCCAAAAGAAAAAAGGTAGAAAGTCAAAAGCCTGACTCTGGTACGAAAATTTGAAAACACAGCGGACTATTTTGTACCTCCTTCTTTTCGTAAGCTCTCTGTCTTTTCACCGTGATACATCCGCGGTCCCCAAAGCGCGTCACTGGGTCCAAACGCACGTCACACGACACCGGACCTCCCTTCTTCCCTTCACCCCTAAGCTGACATTGCGGTGGAAGCCACGTGCTTGCCGGACCAATCAGCCGCCTTCTTCACCTGACCTCATTCTCTGTGCGTAGGTATGCGCGAGAGAGCGTGATCACGTGGCAAAAGTGTGGCTGGAACAAAGAGCACGTAGCTTCCACTGCACTGTCAGCTTCGGGGTGAGCGGGGTGGGGAAAACAATTTTCGTCTGAATTTTGGGTGGCGGGCTGGCAGGCGCACTCGCGTACGGGTTTTAACCTTTCTGCACAGCCGTGCACGCCACTCAGGATCAGATTTTTATTTGCAAATAAATATTATTATTATTATTATTATTTGAGCGACGGGCTCATCTTCTAGGGGGACAATGGCTCTCTCCAAACGAGATTCCAAGCAAGAGGGGACTTCCCTCTTTTCGTCTTCTTGAACTGTTTGGTAGAACGCGCGATTTATGAGTTGAAGAGGAAAGCTAAACAGGAAAAAGTTGGAAAAGCGTTTCATGACTCTTTTAAGGTCTACTAACTGACATTGGAATGAAGGCACGGTGAATATGGTGAGGCCCTCAAGTCGCGTCTTTCACAGTGTAGACAGTTCCACTATATCCATTCACAATGTGGATGCACAATTATGTTCCCTGAACACCGTTTCCTGTTTGACTCATGTTTTTATTACTGACATGCACTTCAATTTAGTCACTCAGGCATGATTGCTCGAAACACGGTAGTGATTACACGAACGCGTGCCAGTGTGAAACTCGTCCAGGTGAAAGCGGGCAGGGGGTGCGGATCGAACCCTGGAGTTTTTGCAGTGGAAGCTTGCGCTGCAGAACCTCCTAGGTTCGATTCCCACCCCCTGCTTGTTTCGATCTGGATGAGTTTTGCACCGGCACACGTTTCTGTAATCACTACTGTGTGGTGCACGTTACAGACCCCAGTTTAGCGGTCGTATTGCGCTGGCTGAATTTCTCACCTACAGCTATGAGACAAGTCACCCGGTGAGGCGTACTAGCATCAAGGCTGTCAAATACAGAAGCAACACAATTTTTTGTGTTGCTTGTCTTGCACCTTAAGCACCTGCGCGCTGGAGGTATACGAGAGGTTGAAGCGTTGTTGAATGAAGGAAGCTCGCGCTTGAGGTGGGACAACTGAATCCCAGCGATTATAACTGTGACATCCGGGCACTTGTCATTGCCTTGCAGAGAGCGAGTATGACTCTGACCTGGACAACACCTATACGTGCCCCGAGGCACCAGACGACGCGTGGCCACTTTCCCCGTGGGACGGACAACGGGACTGCTTGGGCGTCTTTCCGAGTGCAACTCCGACCCTCGCGAAAACCCGGACTCCGGAGGAGCCTGTAGCGGTAAGAATGGAACTCTTTGGTCCAGTAAACCGATCTCGACGGCCAGTATTGTTGTGCCACCACCGTTGACGTGCGTTGTGGAGAGCTGTAGTCTTTCGGCACGTGCGGCAACTTTGCTGTGGGTATGCGCGATCGTGGCACAAGACGGCACGAGCTGTCTCGTGCATTGGTGCCCACCTCTCGTGGGCTGCAGTTATGGTCGCGTCACGCATGCGTGAACTTGAGAGATTGGTTTATGCGGAGAGCAAATCGTCTGCTTCTTGCGCAGGAGTTGCGGTGATGTCAGCAAGACTCCGAGTTCTGATCGACTTTGATTGAAAGGATAGTGGGTAGATTTTAATGCTAGATGCTTTGAGGTCTAGCCACTATTTTTTTCAATCGGCCAATAAGAGTTTGGCACTCCAACATCATCGCAACCCCTGTGCGAGATGCAGACAAACTTGGGCCCCGCATTGCTTACTTAATTTTGCTTCCTCTTACTTCATATTTAAAACCAATGTTCTGGGACGAAGCGAAGCAGACGGGCTCTTGTCGCTTCTCGAAGCTAACTAGAGGGACTTGGCACTCACCAGGGGCAAGTGCCAAGTGACCATGACAAGTGATCGTGCCAGCTTTCTATCTAATAAGCGTGGATTAGAGTGATGGCATAGTGATGTATTGTTGCCAGCTTTGAATGTCACAAGCATCGAGTAAGGACGAATATGTTGCTCGTGACCAAGCGGTTTCATCTTGTATAGTCTCTCATTAGGAACTATCATAGAAAAAGTCGAGGGGAGAGCACGCTGTGAACTGTAAAGCCGCAGTCACGCAACTCTTACACAATGGAAGAGATGTGGCGTTCACCGCAGCATGTTCGCTTCATACACACGTATGCTTTGAGCATGTCTGCAGATGCTTTTTGGATGATCTAATGTGACAGGACTCTAATGAACAGAAGAAACACGCCTCAGTCTCTGCAGGCTGTTTTTTTTATGATGTATTATCAGCGTTACCGCGGCTTGAAAGACCAAGTTATGGTCTATTTGCACTTGCCTTCATTTTCTTTCAAACGGATAGATGCGTGGCAGCCGAATCCTTGCGCATTTTCCCCACAGAAGGGGGCGCGTCACTCGTGCTGTGTCCAATGGCGCCATCTCTGTGCAGCGGACTACTTCGACGCCGGTCCGCTATAACCTCCGACCTCGAAGACCGTCGTCTGTCGCCAACGGATCTCTGCTGCGTGCCGAGACTCCAGCCCAGTTTGCCAGCAAAGTTCACGGGCTCTCGAAACTCAGCCGGCAGCTCGGAGTTATGTCCTCCGACGAGGACTGAGGCTTCGGCGGCTCTTCTGCGGTGACCTTGACAGGTGCTCAAGGTCACGTGGCATGTCTGCAAGGTCACTTTTGCGTATCCTCAGCAATTCTAGGGATGGGAGTGACCCAAGTGACCTTCAAGTAGTACACGTTTTGTTGGGGGGTGGCTGGTAACGTGCCATGACCCACTTTATGGAATGGCAATACTATCAAATATGATAGTATGATAGATGATGATAGATGACTATACTATCATATGATAGTATCATATGATAGTATAGTCAGTGACAATTGATTAATTTTGATCTCCTTATTTTACTTTTTATGCGACTATAGCCGGTGACAAGTCAAGAACGAAGTGGAAGCTCCTCCCACCCTTTTCCACTTCAGCGGAGCGAACGGTGCAGAGGAGGTCGCCTCCTCTCCAGCATTCGCTCTACTTAAGTGGAAAGGGGTGGAAGGAGCTTCCACTTGGTTCTTGACTTGTCACCGGCTATAGTAGATGAGCACAATTTTAGAAACCAGCATAAACTAAATAATTCATTGTAATATCATTTCTCACAAAATTTTCTTAGAGTACACTTGGTTCTGTACTGCTATGCACATGGTCATTCCCTGCAACTGGTGGTACGCTATAAACCAAGAGAAAACCGTACTACCATGGCCAGTTAAAGCAAGGGATGCTGCTCAAACAGTCAGTGCATTGCTCTTTTGTTTATTTATTTTTTAGGTGTATTTATAGTTTGGCTAATAAAAACTTCAAAGTCAGTTTGTGTGTCAATTCTTAAGTATCCATGGTAAGGGCATACATCACCGTTTATTAAGGGTTTCATTTATTGAACGAGGTTCATTCAAATATATGGTAAGATAAATTATCTACAAATACCAGCCCAAAACTTCTAAACGAAAAAATAATTGAAGTTAGGTTCAAAAGGCACTTGTCATGCATGTTTCCACTGCAATATATAGCTGTATCAATGAAATGTGACATCTGTTTGTTTCCTTTAATATCATGTTCTTGGTATTTGCAAAGTACAAAGGAAAATGTGGTTTAATAGCTCAACTTCAATTCTCTTAGTAAATAGAGCCCTGCATATCCGCAGATATGTCCACAGTGAACTGGCAGATACGGATAAAAATGAATCTGATTGGGCAGATTGCGGACTTGATGTTGATATCCACGGGTCTGAATCGCCACTTTTGAGGAGGCGGCCCATAAATGTGACCTCGGAGTGTAGAGCGAATAAGTTAGTGATACTACTATGAACTGCATCATCAAATGTTGTGGGGGAGCAAATTACTCTGTCAGAAAAAAAGGCGCCAATCGGGGAGAAACTTGTTTTTTATGCCAAGATCCGATCCTCATCGAAGACCAAGTTTAGAGTGTTCTATCTCACCAAAAATGCTGTCTCCAGAAAAAGTAAGAAATGCAGGGGGCATCAATCGTCCCGAGAAAAGTGTGTGCTCTTGTTGGGCAGGAAAAGATCAGAAAAAGTTCTTTGGGCAAAGAAAACCCAAAACATAAATGCTGCAAGAGAAAAGAAACCTTCTTTCCCCCGTGGCATAGTGCATTTCTTTCTCTCGACAGACGGAAACTCGCTGCTAGGCATGTGGTTTAGAGCACGCAGTTGTGGGATCATTTTAAAGCAAACCGGTGCTGCCATTATTGAGTACTATGATATCTTCCCAGTTGGTTAATTATGTCTTGCATGTAAATATGAGTACTTTGCTGCGGTGAGTGACCGCCTTTCCCTCCATCTTTTTTATTGTCCGAGCTAAATACAGTGACACTATGTTATGCCTGGCCTTTGTTTATTTTCATGTACAGATACAAAGTCTGCAGATGCAGATGATCAAACTCTTAGCTGCCTAGTTATAAATGACTGCCTCTCCTGCCTTATCTTTTCAGACTTAAATCTGTCCCATGCCGGTTTTATAATGGCCAATCATATTGTATTAGCCACTATAGACGTTCCAACGTGAGAAATCGAGGTGCAAATACAAGCATTGCTCACTTGGCCGCTAGTTCCAGTCCTAACAACTCATCGTTAGAACTGGAATGCGAGGTTGGAATGCAAAATTCATTAATCGCGGCATTGTGGGAACTTTCTAAGCGGCTCTTCCCAGATGCGAGAAAAAAGTCGCAGTGAAATTGCCAAATTACGAAAACACTCCTTCTCCCTAAAAATGAAATGAGTGAAGCTGTATTCTTCACGAACAGCAGTAGCAGCAATGATCTTGACTTTACCCTGCTAAATGTGAAAAATTGACGTTCTCCAACTTTGTTCCAAACAATGTGGGAAGCTCCAGGTGCAATAACAAAGTAATCTCGCTCAATTCCGCCGATATGAATGTCAATGTTTCTTCCTTTAATTTTTTATCTCGATACAATTATGGCACACACTTCTTTGACACTTCTTGCACTGCAGGCTCTGAAATGGGCTACAGGACCAAACTGATGTTTGCCAGCAACTTGTGCTTGTCACCTGGTTGAAGCTGCTGCCCAACAAAATGCGAACCATTTGCATACTTGAGGTACATCGCAATTCTTCGAACGGCCATCATTTCACGATTGCTCTGGTCCGACAAGGGTCCTGGAAACCAGACGGGCATAGGGTCAGTTCACCAGACTGCCACGCCGTGCGTCAGCGGCGTGAATTCCAGTGCAGGAAACTGGTCGCAGCGACAAAAATCGAGAAAACTTCAGAAGTGTTTCGAGTTGTGCAAGTTGGTATGAAGACATATTGAACAGAACAGCGCTTAAAAAGACAACGACTGAGAGAAGGAACATGCAAAACACACAAGTGCTGACTCACAACTGAATTTATACACAAGAGGAAGAAGAGGACCTTCTTCCTTTTGTGTATAAATTCAGTTGCAAGTCAGCGGTTGTGTGTTGTGCATGTTCCTTCTCTCTGTCCTTGTCTTTTTGTGCGCTGTTTTGTTCAAAAAGAGAAAACTTCAGGAACCAACCCTAGTAGCACACTTCGTCCTGGGAACGTTTCTAGGATCTCCTAATGTCCCAGGGATGACCTGTGGACGTTCACAGGACCGTTTGTGCTGCTTGGGAATTCACGGAGAATGTATAACACGACTCGGGTAGCCTATGCGGAGCGCAAGTTCATTTGCTTCTTCCACAGGGGTTGTGATGCCGGAACGCCGAGCTCTCATTGGCCAATTGAAAAAAATAGTGGGCAGACCTTGAGGCATATAGCATTGAAGTCTACCCACTATCTTTCCAACCAAAGCCAATCGGAGCTCGGCACCGTCCTGATATCGCCAAACTCCTGCGCAAAAGCAGACGACTTGCTCTCTGCCCACTTCGTGTCGGCTTGCGATATACCGGAGCAGAGGCCGAGTCTTCTTAGCCAATCCAGCGTTCCGACTTTATGCTCCAAGCTATGGATAGACCGCAATGGCTCGTAGCGTCTGCTGCGGTACTCGCATGGTGCCTGGAACGCGCCTCCGCTTGGTCTACCGTGTCCTAAAATGTGGTCGTCCCTCGATTTCACGATACTGGCGGCGTCACATCAGCAGTGATCAACATGGCGGACGCCTGTTCTGCCGCAGGTTGCTCTCTCCGGCTGTCAATGGAAGTTTCAGCAGCGGGGAGTTCGGACGCTGCGACGACGGCAACACTTGTGTTCGCTTGTACATTTTACCGGCACTTCCAGCACAAACAACCAGGATCACGGCATCATTTGTTGCCACTCTTGTACCACTTCCTATGTGTCGGTGGGATAGGATGATGAACACACTCGTCAATGCAGCATTCCAGGCACCATAATATGTGGCAAGCTAAAAGGTAGTCTGCTGCTTAGCCATTTGGATCGCTGCAGAGGTGTTACCGATCGTAGTCTGTCAAGAACGGCTGTCGGAAGCGACGGAATAGCAAATTACCCCGATAGACTCGGATAAGCAGAACAGCGCAGACCATGAACGCAACCACCGAGATGACCCGACAGGCGATCGTACAGAGATTTGCAGGCCTGCAATGCGACAGCGTGTAGTCCATGTTTGCTGGTCGAGATGGCAGTGGAGCAGTGGCCATGCTGGAGGCATTCGAGAGAAAGAGGTCCAGCCCTAAGTGTTGAAACTGCATATGGACGCAAAGGGCTTACATTTCAGAAGTGCTCCGTGGGTCCATGTCTTGGAATGGAATCATGAAGATAATGCAGGCAGGAGCAATGGGAGCGTGTTGGTTCTTCTACTTTTTCTTCTCCCACTGCCGAGCCCATCCAGTGTGCATACTTGGGTAGTAATTCAATTACAGTAATTAAATTACTGTAATTTAATTACTTTTCCTGGTAATTTGTAATTGTAATAATTACTTTTGGCTAAAAGGAATTGTAATTGTAATTTAATTACTTTCTAGCGTCAGTAATTGCTAAATTTCAGGCACAATTACTTTTGCAAGATTTTGTGGCGGCGGCGCTTTTCCCCCCTGGCCACGGAGACAAGAACACAGCCAAAGCGACAGGGGAAAGAGTGTCTCCCAACCTGCTAAAAAAAAAATGGAAAAGAGGGATGGGAAAGAGAGGCTGGGATAGAACGGAATGAAGGATTTTGTAGACTGTAAAACGATTTAATGAAGAATTTGAGAAATAATTTGATAAATGAGGGCTACATTCGCGTCCGTTTTCGTTCCTGTCGTAGTTGAATCTGACTCTTCGTCTCGTTTGCTTCCTGTTGCTCCTGCTTCTAGGGGTCTTTTTTATTTCTCGTTCCCACACGGGGGCATCGGAGGTCGAAGTCAAGCTGGTTGGCGCTAGAGCACTATATAGCTCCTTCGGAGCAGAGTAGCGCAATCTAGAACGCCGTCTCTCGGCGACTAGCGGCGAACGCCCGGAGGTTCCAACTGCGGTCAGAAATGCATGGGGAACGTGAGAAAATCGTTGTTTCTTCAGTATTGTGGGGATGTGCGGAATGGAAATCATTTTTGACATAATAATGAAACATTTTAGAATAATATGCGATAAGTTTTGTCCCATACAAGGACGTAACTTTTTTTAAAAAATTGCCTGAGCGGCATCATGCAGCAGACGACACGGCGACGTCACACCATTCACGTGACCCGCTCCGGCCAACCCGAAAAGCCCATCTCCGCTGCGAGCAAAAATCGTCTGCTTCAAACGCCATTGCCTTGGAAATTGCCTTCTCAAAATTTGCACACGCATCCGATATTATTAAAATTTTGATAAAGTGTTTAGTGCTTTACTAACTTCACGACAGACTAGTTTTGAAAAGTGTGAACTCGCCGTTCATTTTTTAATCAGCCGTGTTGTATCGATCTCCATGTATTCTCCCATAGGGCGGGCCGCCTCTTGGAACCCTGAGTACCACGTGACTCGCGCCGAGCCGCTCTGTCGGCCATCTTGTCGGCAAAACACGAGGTTCAAAGGATTGCGCTACTCTGCTCCGTAGGAGCTATATAGTGCTCTAGTTGGCGCCGATCACATCATCCGGTCGAGGCGGGGAGGTTCGAGGTTCTCCTTACGCGTCTTCGCCGCTAGCATATTTGCTTACATATTTCAGTCAAGTTTGGAACTTTTTTGTTCATGAAATTATTCTCTTTTCTTTATGAGTTTTTCACGTCCTTCTCCTTTATCTCGTATGCTGATACCACTAACAGTAAGTCGTGCTACTCTAACATCGAGGCGAAGAAGCAAAGAAGCAGCAGGTCTCATTAACACGACTCACCCTGCCTTACTTCCAACTGTTCTTGCTACACTGCTCTTCCTTCTCCCAATCCTCGTCTACCTTTTTGT